CGTTGGAGAGTGGTCCTTGGTCCAAATGCTCCCTGGTCAAGTGGTCCCTGGTCAAGTGGTCCTTGTTCAAGTGGTTCCTGCTCAGTGGTCCCTGGTCAAGTGGTCCCTGACCACAGTGGTCCCTGGTTGAAGTGGTCCCTGGTCGAAGTGGTCCCTGGTGGAAGTGGTCCCTTGTCAAAGTGGTCCCTGGCCCAAGTGTTCCCTGGTCAAATGGTCCCTGGTCCAAGTGGTCCCTTGTCAAAGTGGTCCATGGTCAAAGTGGTCCCTGGTAAAAAAAAAACAGTTGGGAGCCACTGATCTACATTCTAGAATTAATGCGGTTTGACACCACTTGAACTGCCATAGCTCAATTCTATGGGATCCTGGGAGTTGTAATTTGGTGAGGCACTTGCACTGTTTGGCAGAGATGGCTAAATATCTGGTGAAACTACAACTCCCAACATTCCAAAGCATGGAGCCATGGAAGATCAAGTGGTGTCAAAATGTAATAATTCTGCATGGAGACGACCCATCGTATTCCCTGCTTTGAAAAGACAGTGGTGACGGTGTGAGTGTGAACAATTGATTGGCCGAAAATGGACCCGATCCAGCTGCCCGGAGGGCTACAGAGTTGCAGACTTTGGGTTAGGGACTAAAAATGAAATTGGGTTAAGGACTGAAAACATCAGAACAAAATCCAATGTCTCCATGGATCATGAAAACTACCATTGCTGGGGGCAGGATATGGTTGTTTTTGTGTGTATCATGGTCTAAGGCACTACTTGCTTCTCATGAGTAAAGCACCATACGTTGCATCTAATACAATTTTCTAAGGAAAATCACTAAAAATCACCCCCATAGACCATTTCTGCGACAACCAGTAAACTCTATCTTAATTCAAAATCTTAAAGTAATATGTTGCACTTCAGCAGACTCCAAGTTGCTTTTAATATGTTACTTCTGCTCCAAGCTCTTAATTCTCTGGCTCTGTCCTTAGCACGAGACTCAGCCGAATGCAAAGGTTGGGGAAAGGCTTTGCGATGGGGGAAAATCCTGAGCAGGCTGGCCTTCCTGCTCCTGGAATGTGCTGTGTTTTGGGGAAATCTTTGCTGAGCCCAGAGATCTTTTGCTGCGCGCTGTGTCATGGGCTACTTCAAGGAAAGGAGAGAGATAACGGAGTGGGCTGGGCTGAGTCAGCTCTCCGATGGGCACTTTGAACCCGGGCCAAACAGCAAGTCAGCCGCAACTGCATGAGATAAGGCTGGAAGCAGTTGGATTCAGGAGCATTGCAACACAGGGCAGGCAGCAGGCTCACATGACGCTCCGGAGAAAACCTCTCTGGCTCCCTGGCTTTAGATTTAGGCAGTCCGTCTTTCACTTACGCATCCTCATAGGTGATCCCTCGTGCCCCATGATTAGTCTAATTGTTTTCCAAGGGTAGAATCTTAGTAGTGTGTCCATGAGTGATTGTAGAGACCTCTTCTGGTTCCACGCGGTTCTTCTTTCGCATTGAGGACATAGGTTTCCAGATGTAACCATTTCTTAATCAGCACCCCAAATAATCAAACTGAATCTGAAGTTGACCAAAACCCCTTTTTGTAACACTTTTGGGGTTTTTTTATGTCAGGAGCGACTTGAGAAACTGCAATTTGCTTCTGGTGTGAGAGAATTGGCCGTCTGCAAGGATGTTGCCCAGGGGACACCCGGATGTTTTGATGTTTTACCATCCTTGTGGGAGGCTTCTCTCATGTCCCCGCATAGGGAGCTGGAGCTGATAGAGGGAGCTCATCCACGCTCTCCCCGGATTCGAACCTGCGGCCTGTCAGTCTTCAGTCCTGCTGGCTCAAGGGTTTAACCCACTGCGCCACCCTTTTGGTACTAATTTTGGAGAGTGGTTCCCTGGTCAAAATGGTCCTTTACCAAGTGGTCCCTGGTCAAAAAAAGGTGGGAACTACTGAAGTAGAGTGATGAAATTTGGAAGTCCGCTACCAGTACAGAAACAATCAGTAATCCCTAAATACATAGTCATCACAGTATTGCAATCCCTACATACATAATATTAAATACATAATACGAACTAATCCCTAACTATATAGTCCTTGCAGTTTTGTGGCACTGAAGGCACAATAGGCCCACTAAGTATGTCAATGAGAGTAAACACTCGATTTGGTTTGGCATTGCTGCCTTCATCAGTGGCCATTATCAAAGTATACACAAACACATGTTTTTATTTCCAGCATTGGCATATTAATTGATAAATTAACCTCTGTTGGTTAATCATTCCCCCTCTTTGTGTTGTCGAAGGCTTTCATGACCTGAATCACTGGGTTGCTGTGAGTTTTCCGGGCTGCATGGCCATGTTCCAGAAGCATGCTGTCCTGACGTTTCGCCCACATTCCCCCCTCTTTGTATGTGTGTACAAATGCTACATAAGGCAAACATTTAGCACTCCTTTTCCTAATGCCCTTTCCAATGTAAATCTGATACACTCCCTGCCAAAAATAAATGTTCCGTTTGCAATGTACAGAAGTTCTGCTTTTAAGGGTGTTTTCGTTTCTTATTAATGTGACATGATGTTTCTCCTTTGGTGTCGACAGAAGATGTAGGAGCTGAATGTAGTTCTGTATGTAGTTCTGTAGCAATGTAGTTTTGCTTCTTTTGTGGTCCCAAATGCTATAGAAGGCTGTCATCTGTTGCTATTCCTCAGAGTCACTGAGGATGCCTGCCATTGATGTGGGCAAAACGTCAGAAGAGAATGCTTTTGGATCATGGCCAGATAGCCCGGAAAACTAACAGCAACCCACTGCTGTTCTTGTTTGTTTGCTTTTCAACTATTGGAGGGGAAAATAATGATTTGGATAGATCCGGAAACCATTGTGAGTAGAGCATGTGTCATGGACAGGTGATTGGATAATGATCTTAGGTCCATAGGTTGTTTCTTGGATCAGAAAGTTGGACTCAATTACTTAAGAATTTCATCTATTTATTGGCTATGTTTGTATCTCGAATGAGCTCTAAAGAATGCACGTGTTGTTTACACAACAGCCCTGTGAGGTTGAACAAGCTGAGAGTAAGTGACTGATCTAAAGTAAGTTTAGTGCAGGTATGGACCAACTTGGGCCCTCCAGGTGTTTTGGATTTCAACTCCCACAATTCCTAACAGCCTCGGGCCCCTTCCTTTCCCCCCTCAGCCACTTAAGCTGAGGAACGAGATACCTCTGCAGTTTGTCACCGGCCCATGAGTTAATAAAGACAGCTATTTTCCATCCTGAGGTCAAGGTGTGAAAAAGTAAACAGTGCTTCAGCGTGCCCCATTGTTTCAGAGCCGGTCTGCAAGTTAACAGGCAGCCTTGAGGTGAGATAAGGCCCTTCCAGAAGATGATAAAATCCTTTTCTTAACTCTATGCATTTCTGTGAATATTTTTGGAGAATATTTTTTGGGGAATATTTTCTTGATTATTATTTGGAATAGGTTCACGGTTGTTTTTGTGAATATGTTTTGTGAATATATTTTATGCAAATATTTTTGTGAATATTTCTTGCAAATATTGTTGCAACTAATTTTGTAAACATTTTGGGAATATTTTTGGTGAATCCTTTTTGGTGAATGTTTTTGTGAATATTTTTGCAAATAATGTAATTATTTTGTGAATGTTTTGTGAATATTTTCATGAATATTTTTTGTGAATATTTTCATGATTATTTTTGTCAATCTATCTATCTATATATAAATGTAATGTTTGTTTGTGGGATTAACATAACTCAAAAACCACTGGATGAATTGATACCAAATTTGGACACAAGACACCTGTCAGGCCAACGAGTGGCCATCACTCATAAAAACACCGAAAAACACAGCAGAAGGGACTTAAAAAGCAAAAATAAATAAATAAATAAAAAATACATTGCAACACTTGCACATAACCACATATATACGCAAACACAGATATATACACGTATACACAAATATATACACACACATATTCACACACAAAACACATAAACAGACTGGGCCACAGCAACGTGTGGCAGGGGATGGCTAGTATGTGTGTGTGTGTATATATAATGTTCGTTTGTGGGATTAACAGAACTCAAAAACCACTGGGGGAATTGACACCAAATTTGGACACAAAACACCTAACAACCCATGTATGTCCTTCACTCAAAAAAAATGAGTTTGTCATTTGGGAGTTGTAGTTGCTGGGATTTATAGTTCAGCTACAATCAAAGAGCATTTTGAACTCCACTAATGATGGAATTGCACCAATCTTGGCAGACAGGACTCCCATGACCAACAGAAAATACTGGAAGGGTTTGGTGGGCAGTGTCCTTTAGTTTTGGAGTTGTAGTTCACCTACATCCAGAGAGCACTGTGGACTCAAACAATGATGGATCTGGACCAAACTCTACACAAATACTCAATATGCCCAAATGTGAACACTGGTGGAGTTTGGGGAAAATAGAATCTTAACATTTGGGAGATGTAGTTACTGGGATTTGTAGTTCACCTACAATTACAGAGCATTCTGAACCCAACCAATGATAGAATTGGGCCAAACCTCGCACACAGAACCCCCATGACCACCAGAGTGGGCCACAGCAATGCGTGGCAGGGGACGGCTAGTATACACACACACACAAACTCTATGCATGATTGCAAGCGTCACCTTGAGCAAGTTAAAGCTCCATTATGTCCTTTTCTGCTTTGAGGAAATAAGCCTAAGAACAATCACTAAAACATAAGGAATAATCTGGATGAGGGCTTTCTGGGAGGGATTTGCAGATTCGACAGTTTGGCATGTGCATCTACAATGCATAATTCATGCAGTTGGAGAAGAAGCAGGAACACAACCAAGATGACTCAAGGTCTGGAAAACAAGCCTTTTGAAGAAGGACTCATAGTGTAGAATTAAGACAGTTTGGTGGCTCAGTGCTATGGAATCCTGGGAGTTGTAGTTTGGTAAGGCTTCAGCATCGCTAGGCATTACTCCTAACCCTGGGTTTTGTTTTTGGCCTTACAGGCAATTCCCTGCCCTCTGAATGCAGTGACTGAGGATATTTACACCAATGGCTCAGCCATGCTGGGCAGCCCAGTCCACGCCAATGACCGGGAGATGCGAAAAATCAGGTTTATCCAGTTTGAGAAAGTCACGGAGGAACCCATGGTGAGCTGATGGGGACAAAAGCCATAGACTTTATGGTCCCAGGCGCTGGGGGCAGGTAGGACTTCTGCTCCTCTAGACAAAGCCCTGGGGCTGGTAGAACAAGAAGGAAAGGTCTGGGTGAGTTCAAGGCAAATAGATCTATTGAGAAAGGTGAGATCCCTGGCCAAAGGCAGTGAAGCAAGTGGGAAAAGGTAAAGTAGCGATAGAGTTTGGGTCTTTCTAGATTGAGTTCCAAGGCCATTGCTTTGTTGGAACCCCTTGGCTCAAGGAGTTGCTCCATGCCTACTTCTCTTCCAGGTATGGAAGGAGAGTCCCAGGGCAGGACAATGCTTCAGACTACAGATAACATCATCCTTGAACACCACAACTTGGACTGCTGGACATGGTTCCCCACAATATCCAAGATTGTCACATGGCTTGCTGTGAGCTAGATAAATTGTTCCCAATGTTTGCTCCTCCAAGTGTTTTGGAGTATTTATTTTATTTATTTCTTTATTTACAGTCTTTATATTTGCCCTTCTCACCCCGCAGGGGACTCAGAGCAGATTACAATGTACATTTACATGGCAAACATTCAATGCCATAGACACACAACATATATAGACAGACACACAGAGGCTACTTAACATTCCAGCTTTTTGATGAGGGTATTCTGGCCACCAGGAGAGGTGTCGCTTCACCGTCCATTTATGACACTGATGAAGTACTTCCTCATTATTTGCATGCTTGCTGGAGATTTTTATGGTATTGTAAATTAGTTAAATTAGCCTCCCCGCAGATGCGGTACCTAAATTTCTTACTTGACAGATGCAACTGTCTTTCAGGCTGCAAAGGTCGACAGCAAGCTACACAAATTGGTTGGACGCTCACTCTGACTCGGGCTGGCTTCGAACTCATGATCTTTCGGTCAGTAGTGATCTTAATGCAGCTGACTCCCAGCCAGCTACGCAACAGTCCTGGTGCTAAGTACTTCTCAGGGCCCTTCCACACAGCCATATAGCACAGAATATCAAAGCAGAAAATCCCACAATATCTGCTTTGCACTGGATTATCTGAGTCCATACAGCCATATATCCCATAGTTCAAAGCTGTAGGATTTTGTTCAGTTGTATGGAAGGAGCCTCAGAGTACCTAAAAGTTGGTCTACCTGGGATTCGAAGTCCCAAATACCTGGAGGACCAAATGCCGGGAAGTAAGGCTCTAGTCTAGAGGAAAGAGAGTATTGTTAAGTAAAGTAGAAATGGATATGGAGGAAGTTGACAACAAGTCTCTTCTCATAGAGAAGCCAAGCAAGACAGTTGTCAGGATGAGAGGTCTATTTGCAGAGAAGCAGTAATAAGTTACTTTCTGAACTATGACTCCCAGGATCTACCATTCACTGGACTGTAGGAGCTGCAGTCGCTTTCCAAACCTTGTCTCAGTGCAAGTTGCCATAGGCTCTGTTGTCTGTTCCAGGGCATCACGCTGAAGCTGAATGAAAAGAAGAGCTGCATGGTGGCCAGGATCCTCCACGGAGGAATGATTCACAGGCAAGGTAAACAGAACAGGAGCAGGCCTCGAAAACTGTGCCCAAGAGGAACCCACAAGTTGTCCGTGACTCTCCCTAGACTAGACTTCCCAAACTGTCAGTAGGGAATGTATTGTCGAAGGCTTTCACGGCCAGAATCACTGGGTTGTTGTAAGTTTTTTGGGCTGTATGGCCATGTTCCAGAAGCATTCTGTCCTGACTTTTTGCCTGCATCTATGGTAGGCATCCTCAGAAGTTGTGAAGTCTACAACGTCTGAGGATGCCTGCCATAGACCCAGGCAAAAATGTCAGGAGAGAATGCTTCTGGAACATGGCCATACAGCCCGAAAAACTTACAACAACCCACTGCCACTGGGGATTTTCTTGCCCTTGTCTCCAGGATCTCATGAGTGCTGCTTATCGAAGGGCCTCTGCCACCAGCTTAGCTGTGCCAGCAGGACTGTTGACCGAAACGTTGGTGGTTCAAATCTGGGGACTGGGGTGAGCTCCCATATGTCAGCTCCAGCTTCTCATGTAGGGACATGAGAAAAGCCTCCCACAGGATGGTAAAATGTTCAGGCCTTCCCTGGGCAACATCAATGCAAATGGCCAATTCCCTTGCACCAGAAGTGACTTGCAGTTTCTCAAGTCATGAAAAAAAAAAACAGCTTAGAAAAGACCCAAGAAATGATACTTTGCTGAACATCTTCTCAGACCTGTAACTGGCTCTGATGGAAAACCATAGCCTTGGGTAGCTGTTGTACTTAGGAGCTTATCACATGAGACAAATTGCACTTACAGCAGGATAAGAGCATCCTTGTCTAGGACTTATCACATGACGTTGCTTCTTTCCAGTGGGAACGAGGCCTGGAAAGTGTTTCTTTGACAAACATAAATAATCTGTTAATGATCTCCTGTTGTAAAAGGATAGCTAATACTCCAGAAGACAGGAGCAGAATTCAAAACGATCTTAACAGATGAGAGAGATGATTGGCCAAAACTAACACAATGAAGTCCAGCAGGGACAAATACAAGATACCCCACTTAGGCAGAAAAAAATGAAATGCAAAGATACAGAATGCAGGGCAATGTCTGGCTTGATAGCAGGCTGTGTGAAAAAGATCTTGGAGTCCTCGTGGACAGGAAGGTGAACATGAGCCAACAATGTGATATGGCAGCTTAAAAAGCCAATGGGATATTGGTCTCCATAAATAGGTGTCTAGTGTCTAGATCCAGGGAAGTCATGCTACCCATGCTCTATTCTGCCTTGGTCAGACCACACCTGGAACCACACTGTGTCCAGTTCTGGGCACCACAATTGAAGAGACATGTTGACAAGTTGCAATGTGTTCAGAGGAGAGTGACTAAAATGAACAAGGGTCTGGAGACCAAGCCCTATGAGGAGTGGCTTAAAGAGTTGGGCATGTTTAGCCTGCAGAACAGAAGGCCGAGAGGAAACATGATGAGGGCCATGTGTAAATATGTGAGGGAAAGTCATAGGGAGGAGGGAGCAAGCTTGTTTTCTGCTGCCCTGGAGACTAGGAGGAGGAACAACGGCTTCAAACTACAGGAAAGGAGATTCCACCTGAATGTGAGGAAGAACTTCCTGACTGTGAAAGAGAGCTGTTCAGCAGTGGAACTCTCTGCCCCAGTGTGGTCTGCCCCAGGTTTCAAAGCCTCTTTGGAGGCTTTGAAACAGAGGCTGGATGGCCATCTGTCGGGGGTGCTTTGAATGCGATTTTCCTGCTTCTTAGCGGGTTGGACTGGATGGCCCATGAGGTCTCTTCCAACTCTATGATTCTATAAATGCCTTCCAACAGTCTCGCTGGGAGAATAACAGAAGAGGGAAGATGCCATGTAATACGCCCTGCCGTAATTGCAATCTACCTGCTTCATGCAATGTGGTCTTTAGAGTCACAGTATGAACTCAGAGAGGGCTTTATCATTCATTGGTTTTTTTATAGAGTGAGGCAGTCACCCTGGTGGCGCAATGGGTTAAACACTTGTGCCAGCAAGCCTGCTGATCAAAAGGTCAATGATTTGAATCCGGGGATCGGGGTAAGCTCCCTTCTGTCAGCTCCAGCTTCTCATGCAGGGCCATGAAAGAAGACTCCAACAGGATAATAATAATAATAATAATAATAATAATAATAATAATAATAATCTTTATTTATACCCCGCCACCATCTCCTCAAGGGGACTCAGGGCGGATTACATGAGGCCAAGCCCAACGGTACAGCAAGGCAAATATACAACATAAAATACAAACAGTAAATAATAATAATGTATTGTCGAAGGCTTTCATGGCCGGAATCACTGGGTTGTTGTAGGTTTTTTCGGGCTATATGGCCATGGTCTAGAGGCATTCTCTCCTGACGTTTCGCCTGCATCTATGGCAGGGTTTATATATCTGTGGAATAACAAAAGTTTGCTCTAGGCACTGTCAGGCCATTATATGCTAATCAAGGTGGTCAGTTGAAACATTCACACCTAGCTCCAGCAGACAAGAGACCTTTGTCCCACCCTGGTCATTCCACAGATATATAAACCATTTTCCTAGTTCCAACAGACCTCACTACCTCTGAGGATGTTTGCCGTAGATGCAGGCGAAACGTCAGGAAAGAATGCCTCTAGACCATGGCCATATAGCCCGAAAAAACATACAACAATCCAATAATAATAATAATAATAATAATAATAATAATAATAATAATGTCATAAAGCAGTACAGGGGGTCCCAGTGGTCATCAGCACACTGGGTGCCATGCCAAAAGATCTCAGCTGGCATTTGGAAACAATAAACATTGACAAAATCAAGATCTATCAACTGCACGCATCATTCGAAAATACATCACACAGTCCTAGACGCTTGAGAAGTGTTCGACTAGTGATTTTGTGATACGAAATCCAGCATATAGATCTCGTTTGCTGCGACATACTGTGCTTTTGTCTCAATAATACAAAAACAGTATAAACAAACACACCAGGGTTTATTTATATGGATGGTAAAACATCCCAGCGTCTGCTGGGCAACGTCCTTGTAGACGGCCAATTCTCTCACATCAGAAGCTTCTCAAGTCGTTCCCGACATTGCGGGGGGGGGGGCATTCACAGTTTCTTCTGAGACCCCTAACAATTTGGAAGACATAGACTATATTTCATCCTGTAAACAAGCCTGCTGTATTCAGGTGCCTGCCCCATTGCTTCTTGTGTTTGGCCGCTCATCTGGATTTTTGTACATTGAGCAAAAGGAGGGTGCCGTTTAATCCTCCATAGTTGGCATTGTGCAGGCATCGCCTGCCTTTTCTCCTGCCTCATGTGCCTCTCTCTCCTATCTGGCAGGCTTCCTTCATGTGGGGGATGAGATCCTAGAAATCAATGGGAAGAGTGTCAGCAACCACTCTGTAGACCAACTGCAGAAGATACTGGTAGGTACAGAGGCAAGAGGGGGACGGATCCGGGAGAAAGAGAGAATCAGAGCTTGACTAAATTAGCCAACATTCATGGCATTCCAAAAAGGGGGATTCCTCAAACTGTAGGGGGTGGAATTGTTTCTCCAACCCCTCATTACATATATATGGCCACTAGTTCCTTCTTGTTTAAGGGTTTGATTCTCTTCCTTTCCTTTTATCCACTAGAAAGAAACCAAGGGCACAGTGTCCCTAAAGGTCCTTCCAAACCAACAGAGTCGCATTCCTGCCCTTCAGGTAGGTGGGCGCTTCCAGCTTTAGATCAGTTCCAGTGCGTATGGCTTTTAATAAATTTGCACCAAGGAAAGAGGCTTTCTGCAGCTAAAATGTGAAATCGATCCTTCTGGCTTCATTTTCTATATTATATAATAATGAAGATAGCCATTTAAACCACTGTGCCAGCCCCGAATCTGGGGAGAGGTGGATGAGCTCCCTCTATCAGCTCCAGCTCCTCATGCGGGGACATGAGAGAAGCCTCCCATAAAGATGATAAAAACATCAAAATCATCTGGGCGTCCCCTGGGCAGCGTCCTTGCAGACGGCCAATTCTCTCACACCAGAAGCAACTTCTGACAGTACAAAAAAAAGCCATTTAGTCTTACCTATTACTGGTCAAAAGGGAAATAACACTTTGTGTGGGTTGTTGTGTGTTTTCCGGGCTGTATGGCCATGTCCCAGAAGCATTCTCTCCTGACGTTTCACCTGCATCTATGCCTGCCATAGATGCAGGTGAAACATCAGGAGAGAATGTTTCTGGAACATGGCCATACAGCCTGGAAAACACACAACAACCCAGTCATTCTGGCCATGAAAGCCTTCAACAAAACACTTTGTGTGTTCATGTGTTTCTAATCTTAGGAAGCTCCCAGTGGTGTAGTGGGTTAAAGCGCTGAGCTGCTGAACTTGTTGACCGAAAGGTCGCAGGTTCGAATCCGGGGAGCAGCGTGAGCTCCTGCTGTTAGCTCCAGCTTCTGCCAACCTAGCAGTTCAAAAACATGCAAATGGGGGTAGATCAATGTCTACTGCACCTCCAGTGGGGCCTGATACATAGGAGGGATGAGCAATTCTTCATTTTAAAATCCTAAGTCATATCTAATTCGTAAGTTGTGTATATATAAACAGAAATTAAGAAACACAAAAAAGTAGTTAACTTATAGTCCTGATATAGGCTGCAGTGGCACATCAGGTGAAACCACTGAGCTGTGAAACTTGTGACCAAAATGTTGGTGGTTCAAATCCAGACAGTGGGGTGAGCTCCTGCTATTAGCCCCAGCTTCTGCCAACCTAGCAGTTTGAAAATATGCAAATGTGAGTAGATCAATAGTTACCGTTCCAGCAGGAAAGTAACGGCACTCCATGCAGTCATGCTGACCGTATGACCTTGGAGGTGTCTACAGACAATACTGACCCTTTGACTTAGAAATGGATATGAGCACCACCTCCCAGAGTCGGACTTGACTAGACTTAATGTCAAGGGGAAACCTTTACCTTTACCTTACCTAGTTATGGTATGGACTTCATCCAATTTCAGAAACACTTTACAAACTATTTGTCCTCCATCCCCTAATTTCGTAATGAGTATTGAAATGTTTTTTATTGATCACACAGGCCAGAGAGATAGATAGATGGATGGATGGATGGATGGGTGGATAGATGATAGATAGATAGATAGATAGATAGATAGATAGATAGATAGATAGATAGATAGATAACTTAGGGTGTGTGGGTCTGAAAAGCTAGCTGACAGTTGGGAGAAAACCTCTGGGAAACTGTCAAGGAAAAGGCTGGAGTATTTGGGTTATGACACCATATGCTGCAACATGTTGTTTTGGGTTTCACTTCCAATTTTGGAAACAACTTAAAACATTCAATGGAAACAATGAAAAAAGACCAAAATATAGTAAACTGCATAAAAACATGATAAAATAAAGCAACTGTGTAGAAGCTTGCGAGAATAAAAATCAGTCTGTAGGCTCTTGGGAAGTGATGGAAACAAGGCATTCATTCCTCTCTTGGAGGACTGATCCACATCTTGGGTGTCTCTGCTGTTATGTTGCCTGCCCGCTTGCTCTATCTCAGATGACAAGTGCATAGCTTGGAAATGTTACATTGGGGCACTACAACTTGTAGGTGGAGGGTTCTGGAGTTTGCAAACCAAGAAGTAGTTTTCTTAAGGCTGTTGGTCCCATGCAGATGCTAGTAATTTGGAATCGGTTTCAATGTTCTGCTCCTGGAGAATGAGCCAGTTCGTATCCAAACCAATGGAGCCCCACCCTGTAACCACAGCAGAATGGGATCCAGTGAAGCCGCTAGCCTTTGGGGCTTTTGCAAGAGGTTTCCCACACACACCCAAGGCCACAAAGCTCATTTCTCACACATCTTGAGATGGGAGGGCAAAACATGTATATCTTGTAGTTATTGTGCAACAAACAGCCATCTGGATTGTGGGGAGCTTTTTCTAACATGACAGTGTGATGGCACAATCTCTCTTCTTGCATACTTGTGTGTGTGTGTGCGTGTGTAGCCTGTGGCTTTGAAGATGCACAGGGATGTTGATAATCTTGATTCTACCAGAGGTGGACAAAACCAGGATGGATCAACACATTCATTCGTCTTTGGGGATATTCATGGATTTGATTCATATGTTCTCTCTAGAAATCTGGCATTAGCTTGCCATAGAGTTGCACTAGAGGACCTAGAGATTCCTAGAAAGCATTTCACTTGGCATTTTAGGTCCCCCAGTGTGATTCAATAGTCAGTTTCCAGTGTAAGGAACTAAAGCAGTGTTTCTCAACCTTCCTAATAACCCCTTAATACAGTTCCTCATGTTGTGGTGACCCCCAACCATAAAATTATTTTCATTGCTACTTCATAACTTTAATTTTGCTATTGTCATAATGTAAATATCGGATATGCAGGATGTATTTTCATTGTTACAAATTGAACATAATTAAAGCATAGTGGTTAATCATGAAAACAATTTATTTACTTACTTATTATTTGGAACATTTATACCCCGTCCTTTCTCGACCTCCAAGGAAGGACTCAGGACGGCGACCAACAGGCAACAATTCGATGCCGAAACAATAACATCTTAAAATACAATCAAATGCCTAAAAATAAATATCAAAACAATATGTAATTATATATTGTGAAAATATTTATTTCTAATTAAAAATAAATGAAATTTTGTCTTGAAGCATGGTGTAGCATGGGTAATGGTTTTAATATAACAACAGTAGACTACATTGCTGCATTTTGCGAGGGTATGCATAAAAAGTCAATGTCAGTGCGAAGGTTGAGATTGCTTCTTTCTCACCATATCAGAAATTCTCAGGGCAGTCTTTGCAAGAGCACAACAAAGATCATCTTCCCCAACAAGTCTACTTCTGTATTTAGACTTGATAACCCAAAGGCGACGAGAGTGTCGGGGAGGCATGGAAGAGTCCTTCTCACCCTTTGCACTCAGTGCTATGAGTGTCTATGGCACCCCAAAGGGGCAGTGCTGAGGAGGTGGGGGTCCCCAACACACCTGCCCTCCCAGGCCTCAACCCACCATTGGAGGATCCTTCGAAGGGGGCACCAGGCCACTTTCACCTCCTCCTGCTCCTGCTCCTCCTCTTCAGGGTCTGTGGCTGGTGAGGCAGTGGTCCTGGAAAGCCAAGGAGGGAGATGTGCCTTCATCAGTCATCCGCCTTCCTCCTTGGCTCCTAGGGCTACTTGGTGCTTTGCCAGCTCACCCCTTCACTAACTGCTTCACCGCTGGAGGAAGAGGAAGAGGGGGAGGCTCTCTGCGCCAATCTGGAGGAGGAAAGGAGATGAAACCACATGGGCATGGGTGCTGGCGGGCAGAGCAGCTGGCAGAGTGGCTGGAAGAGCGGCCCAGCAGCCATTCTGGGGAGACGGATGAGGCAGGCAGGGCTGAAGGAGGCAGTGGCATGACCCCTCTCAAACACCTGTTCGACCACTCTAGGGGTCGCAACCACTAGGTTGAGAACCTCTGAGCTAGAGGTTCTTAGACGAGAGTACTGGTTTTTTATTATTGTTTTTTTCCACTGCAGAAACCATTTTACTGTAGTCTGGTTGCATAGAGAAAACTCAGTCCTGGCTCATGTGGTTAGAAGTTTCTTGCGTTACTTGCACTGCAAGAAACTTAAAGAGTTCTGCATCAGAGACAGAAAATATTCTTCATATAATGAAGATCTCAGGTTCACCTTTAATATAAAAAAGCAGGGGGGAAGACCTAATTGCAGGTAGTAGGAGCAACACTTCCCAACATAAAGCCCTGGCTGAGAGTCAAAAGAAACAATATTGGCCATAATAGACAAATAATCGCGTCTGGTATAAGGCAGTACTCTATTTTTGTCTGACATGGTGTTTCTCCTCCATTAGGCAAAAGGTGGAATACATCGTTCTTGCTTTCACATAGTGTTGCCATGTTTTCAAAACAGCCACAAAAGGACATTTGAAATTCATGCCTGGATAACCGTGAGGAAGTAGCTATTACAAAAGTTTGTGTTCTGCTTAAATGTCATTGTTGCCTGCCTTCAAGTTGGCAATATTAAGGTGAACCCGTCATGGGGCTTTCTTGGCAAGACTGGTTTAGGGCAGGTTTGGGCTTTCCTTCTCAGTTCTCCATCTGTCTTCCATCAAGGCGACTAAAATGATCAAGGGTCTGGAGAACAAGCCCTATGAGGAGCGGCTTAAGGAGCTGGGCATGTTTAGCCTGAAGAAGAGAAGGCTGAGAGGAGATATGATAGCCATGTATAAATATGTGAGAGGAAGCCACAGGGAGGAGGGAGCAAGCTTGTTTTCTGCTTCCTTGGAGACTAGGATGCGGAACAATGGCTTCAAACTACAAGAGAGGAGATTCCATCTGAACACGAGGAAGAACTTCCTGACTGTGAGAGCCGTTCAGCAGTGGAACTCTCTGCCCCGGAGTGTGGTGGAGGCTCTTTCTTTGGAGGCTTTTAAACAGAGGCTGGATGGCCATCTGTCAGGGGTGATTTGAATGCAACATTCCTGCTTTTTGGCAGGGGGTTGGACTGGATGGCCCATGAGGCCTCTTCCAACTCTTTGATTCTATGATTCTATAAGCTTCTCTCCATTGCGATTTTGCCCACCCTGAAATGTGCTGCCTGGGTCAACCATGACTCCTCTCTTCCTACAGATGTTCATGAGGGCTCAGTTTGACTACGACCCCCAAAAGGACACTTTGATACCGTGTAAAGAAGCCGGGCTGAAGTTTCAGACAGGAGATGTCATTGAGATCATCAACAAGGATGACAGTAACTGGTGGCAAGGCCGGCTGGAGGGCTCCTCCACTGGATCCGCAGGACTCATCCCTTCCCTGGAGCTACAAGAGTGGTATGTCCTATGCAGAAGTGGTCATGTTACTTACATGCTGCCCTTCTGTTCTAGCTCCTGTTCAGGTGAGGCTCAAGGAGACAAGGTTTGGTGATAGCAGCTCCCCGCTTCCTGGGATTTTGTCGCTGGCATGTGCTTTCTTCGCCTTTTCTTTTCATGCAGAACTCTTTAACTCCTGTCTAGCCCTTGCCTCCATTTCCCTTTGGAAAGATGTAATAAGAGGGGAATCTATTATGTAAAGAGGATCACCATTAGTTTGGAGATCCCACTGGTGTGTCACCAATTGTAATAGAGTATTATTTAAAACGACTTAAATGCTTGGCGGCTGTAGAGCAGTGTTTCTCAACCTGAGGGTTGGGACCCCTGAGGGGGTCGCGAACGGGTGTCAGAGGGGTCGCCAAAGACCATCAGAAAACACAGTATTTTCTGATGGTCATGGGGATTCCATGTGGGAAGTTTGAGCCAATTCTATCGTTGGTGGAGTTCAGAATGTTCTTTGATTGTAATGAACTATAAATCCCAGCAACTACAACTCCCAAAAATCAAGGTCTATTTTCCCCAGGCTCCACCAGTGTTCACATTTGCACATATTGAGTATTTGTGCCAAGTTTGGTCCAGATCCACCATTTCGTCAGTCCACAGTGCTCTCTGGATATAGGTGAACTACAACTTCCAAACTCAAGGTCAATACCCACCAAACCCAGTGTTTTCCATTGGTCATGGGAATTCTGTGTGGCAAATTAGGTTCAAGTCCGTCGCTGGTGGAGTTCAGAATGCTCTTTGATTATAGGTGAACTATAAATCCCAGCAACTACAACTCCCAAAAGTCAAGGTCTATTTTCCCCAGGCTCCACCAGTGTTCACATTTGCGCATATTGAGTATTTGTGCCAAGTTTGGTCCAGATCCACCATTGCATGAGTCCACAGTGCTCTCTGGATATAGGTGAACTACAACTTCCAAACTCAAGGTCAATACCCACCAAACCCTTCCAGTGTTTTCTGTTGGTCATGGGAATTCTGTGTGGCAAATTAGGTTCAAATCCATCGCTACATCCAGAGAGTACTGTCAACCCAAACACCGATGATCTGGACCAAACTTGGCATACATACCTGGTATGTTGAATTTGATTACTGGAGGGGTTTGGAGGGGAACTGACCTTCCTTTCTGGGAATTATAGTTCATCCATAACCAGAAAAACTGTGACCTCCACTGATGATGGACCTGGACCAAACCTGGCACACAGAATCCCCATGACTAACTCAACCTACTGGAGCGGTTTGAGGGGACTGACTCACCATAGTGGGAGTTGTAGTTTACCCTACAGCCAGACAGTACACTGAAGCCCACCAGTGATGCATCTAGAGCAAACTTGCCCAACATAACAAGCTTTAAGTACTGATGGAGTGTTTCAGGGTTAACCTAGCATGATGTGAGTTGTAGTTCACCCATAACCAGAAAAACTGTGACCTCCACCGATGATGTATCTGGACCAAATTTGGCACACAGAACTCCCATGACTAACTCAACCTACTGGAGGGGTTTGAGGGGACTGACTCACCATAGTGGGAGTTGTAGTTTACCCCACAGCCAGATAAGACACTGAAGCCCACCAATGATGCATCTAGAGCAAACTTGCCCAACATAACAAGCTTTAAGTCCTGATGCAGTTTCAGGGTTAACCTGGCATGATGTGAGTTGTAGTTCACCTATAACCAGAGAAACAGTGACCTCCACTGATGATAGACCTGGACCAAACTTGGCACACAGAACCCCCATGACTAACTCAACCTACTAGAGGGGTGTGAGGGGACTGACTCACCATAGTGGCACTTGTAGTTTACCCTACAGCCAGACAGTACACTGAAACCCACCAGTGATGCTTCTAGAGCAAACTTGCCCAACATAACAAGCTTTAAGTACTGATGGAGTGTTTCAGGGTTAACCTGGCATGATGTGAGTTGTAGTTCACCCATAACCAGAAAAACTGTGACCTCCATTGATGATGGACCTGGACCAAACTTGGCACACAGAACTCCCATGACTAACTTGACCTACTGGAGGGATTTGAGGAGACAGACTCACCATAGTGGGAGTTGTAGTTTACCCCACAGCCAGACAGGACACTGAAGCCCACCAGTGATGCATCTAGAGCAAACTTGCCCAACATAACAAACTTCAAGTACTGATGGAGTGTTTCAGGGTTAACCTGACATGATGTGAGTTGTAGTTCACCCACAACCTTATGCATTTTGTACAATTTAAAAAATGACTTTTTCAAATAACCCGGGCAATGCTGGGTACCCAAGCTGGTTTATTATAATACTAGCATGTGTACCCAACACTGGGACTGCTACTAAGAGCACATGGCTCTCTTTTGGTTCCCTAAGAGGTCCTTAAAGTTGCAGTCCTTTCCTACTCTACCCATTCAAGGTGATAATGTTTGTGTTGCAACCATCATCTATTCATCTCACCCCAACTCCTTCTGCCTTTTCTTTGTGCTGGGATGAGATGATAGATACCAGCTTGTTCCAACACCTACTTTTTCTCATTGCAAAATGTATTTTCTTTTCCAATCCCTACAGGCGTGTTGCAAGCACAACCCAGGGGAACCCCACGCAAGCCCAGAGCTGTAGCCCTTTTGGGAAAAAGAAGAAATGCAAAGACAAGTACTTGGCGAAACACAGCTCAAGTAAGAACCTCTCCTTTCACACTGAGATGAATCACAGGGATGACTAACAACCACCCTGGGTAGATTCTGTGCTTTCTTTTCTCCATACAGTCTGGTTTTCCTGTTGTAGAGGGCAACAGAGATCCTTCTTGTTTCACTGTATGCAGCTAGAAGGTCTAGAACAGTGTTTCTCAACCTTCCTAATGCCGCAACCCCTTAATATGGTTCCTCATGTTGTGGTGACCCCCAACCACAACATTATTTTCATTGCTACTTCACAACTGTAATTTTGCTACTGTTAGAAATCAAATACCCAACACCCAAATTCGAATGCTCGGGGGGATTTTGTCATTTGGGAGTTGTAATTGCTGGGATTTATAGTTCACCTACAATCAAAGCGCATTCTGAACTCCACTATCGATGGAATTGAACCAAACTTGGCACACAGGACTCCCATGATCAACAGAAAACACTTGCAGGGTTTGGTGGGCATTGATCTTGAGTTTGGGAGTTGTAGTTCACCTACATCTGTGGACTCAAAGAATGATGGATCAGGACGAAAATTGGCATGAGTACTTAATATTCCCAAATGTGAATACTGGTGGAGTTTGGGGAAGATAGACCTTGACATTTGGGAGTTGTTGTTGCTGGGATTTATAGTTCACCTACAATCACAGAGCATTGTGAACCCCACCAATGATAGAATTGGGCCAAACTTCTCACACAGAACTCCCATGACCAACAGAAGATACTGTGTTTTCTGATGGTCTTTGGCGACCCCTCTGACACCCCCTCGCGACTCCTCAAGGGGTCCTGACTCCCAGGTTGAGAAACACTGGTCTAGCATGAACTAATGACATGGTTTGGATTCAGCAATAGGCTGCTAGTAGTCATGTTAGGGGAAGACCATGCGGGCATCTTTTACTGCCACCTTCTGGTCAATGCTCTATGCATGCAACAAACACGGGCCAAGATGGTCCTTTTACTATATGTAGCCTTTTCTTCAAAAGGCAATGCTGATCTGAGAGGATTTTTTTTCAATGTCAGGAGTGACTTGAGAAACTGCAAGTCACTTCTGGTATGGGAGGATTGGCTGTCAGCAAAGATGTTGTTCAGGGGACGCCTGGATGTTTGATGTTCTACCATCCTTGTGGGAGGCTTCTCTCATGTCCCTGCATGAGAAGTTGGAACTGACAGAGGGAGATAATCCATGCTCTCCCCAAATTCAAACCTCTGATCTGTTGGTCAGCAGTCCTGCCAGCACAAGGGAGGATTGGCTTAATCCATTGCACCACTAGGGGCTCCACCTAAAAGGATGAAAGCCATAGTTTAGCACATCCAAAGAGTACCAAGCTAAGAGTGATGGGGGTTATAGTCCAATTGACCTGGCTGAAGGAGGATCTTCCTACTCCATTACTACAATAGGTGTTTTTTGCCTTGGTATTTTTGGACAGGGTACCACCACAATAGGACCCCCTGGTGGTGCAGCAGGTTAAACCGCTGAGCTGCTGAACTTGCTGACTGAATCTGGGAAGCAGGGTGAGCTCCCACTGTTAGCCCCAGCTTCTGCCAACCTATCAGTTAAAAAACATGCACATTTGAGTAGATTAATAGGTACTGCTCTGGTGTGACGGTAACGGCACTCCATGCAGTCATGCCGGTCACATGACCTTAGAGGTGCCTTGGGCGAATGCCAGCTCTTCAGCTTAGAAAGGGAAATGAGCATCACCCCCCAGAGTCGGGCACAACTAGACTTAATGTCAAGGGGAAACCGTTACCTTTACTTACCACCACAAGCTTCTTCATAGCATTTTGTCCCTCTGCTATGACAACAATTTGGAATTTTTAACCTTACCGCTACCATTAGGCACAAATGGAGTCTTAGAGAGGACAAGGTGGATAGATATGTGCAAGCAAGAACCCCAACAGACTCTTTGAGCCCTTACGGTAGCTCTCTAGATGAGTTTGCTCTCCTTTAGATTTGCTTCAAGTAAGGAAAATTCATTTACAGAGTTACTGTAAGGCCGCCTTGTATTTACTGACGTGACTTGTGGTAAGAACCTTGTTGGAAGAAATTTGATAACCTCATACCACCTTGCCTGACTCATAACAAGCCAGCCACAAGTCAGAAGGAAGTTCTCTTGTTGTGAACCTTGAGGTCAGTGCCAAGTTTCAGACAGATGATCCTAACACTTCATTTTTTTGTGTATGTGCCAGGAGCGACTTGAGAAACTGCAAGTTGCTTTTGGTGTGAGATAACTGGTTGTCTGCAAGGACATTGTCCAGGGGATGCCTGGATGTTTTACTATCCTATGGGAGGCTTCTCTCATGGCCCCATATGAGAAGCAGGAGCTGACAGATGGGAGCTCACCCCTCTCCCTGGATTCAAACTGCAAACCTTTTGGTCAGCAGTCCTGCTAGCACAAGGGTTTAACCAACCTATTGCGCCACTGGGGGCTCCAATGTCTCAAATGAGTGCATAAAAAAGGAAGGAATGATGGAAAGAGAGCGATATCTATATCTATCTATCTATCTATCTATCTATCTATCTATCTATCTCGTATAGTTCTCATATTGCTAAAAGCAGAAGGAGGGAGGGGATATCTCACATAGCTCTAATATTATTAACAGCACATGTTTTGAAATATATTGTTCTCCAGGGTACTACACCAAGAAAGACTATATTCCGTGACTTGCAAGAATCCCAGATAGCGGTGTAGAATATGTTGTCCTTTCCCCCCATTTCAGGATTCTTCCCAAGCCTTATTATGGGAGCTGCAACAGAATATGTATGGAGACATACTAAACAAGGAGAACCTCTGTCTCGTCATTTAAAAAAAATCTATTTCTCATTTCAGTTTTCGACCAGCTGGATGTGGTGTCTTACGAAGAGGTGGTGAGGCTGCCGGCCTTCAAACGGAAAACCCTGGTGCTGATAGGTATCTGATTTACAATCTGAATTTGTACACATTCAATTAGGGTTGTTTGAGGAAAGGATAACACAATAAAAGTGGCATAGGTGGGTGTGAAGGGCCCATTTGTGCCAGAGTTTCCACCCCTTCAAGGTGCACACAATCCCAGATATTTACATTTTACGCTGCAGTTATCTCAAGTTGTTGATAGGAATGGTATTACATCACTTTCTGTCACCATTTTGAGAGGCATTGCAGAGGAGTGGCATATGATTCTAGAGTACTTATGTGGTATTTTCACTTACTTTCATGCATTTGGAAGTCTTTGGGAGGCACAAAAATGGGATCCATGGGCACATGCAGTGCACACTCTCTCCATCCACTTCCAAAAGTCCCATCGTACACAAAAAAACCCCTTTCCTGCAGGTAAAACACTAGTATCTCATGTATCCAAAACACGTGAGACTGAAAAAGTGTTTTTGATTTTGTAGTACTTGTATTTGAATATCTGTTGTCCTCTGCTGTGTGTCCTTTAGCCAAGACAAATGGAGCTTTCTTAGGAAAGAAAGAGGATGGCTTGAGTTTCATTTGCCAACCATTTCTCTTCTTTTTGGACCAGGAGCCAGCGGGGTTGGCCGGAGTCACATCAAGAATGCCTTGCTCAGCAAAAGTCCTGAGAAGTTTGGCTATCCTATTCCATGTAAGTATACCTAGAAACCAAGCTTTCTTTGGTGGCTTCTATTTTGGGATTTTTGAAACTCGATCTTGTCTCAGAAGACAATCTAACTAGGGAAACATTCTGCTGAAAGCTCCATTCCTCTCATTGCCTTTGTACTTCAGGTCAAAGCTTAGAAGTAACTAAGTAGCAGACCTACAAAGTTATTCATTCCAGTAATTTTGTTTCTTCATTATGATTTGACTTGCTAGATTTCTCATTTAACATTTAACATTGTAAATTAGGGGTTGCCTTTGAAAACTGCTCGGAAGCTTCAAATGTGGTGGCCCCTCGGCTGTGGAACTCCCTGCCTGGGGATATTAGATCGGCCCCGTCCCTCCTGACCTTTCAAAAAAGAATTAAAACCTGGCTCTGTGAGCAAGCATTTGGAACCTCAGTATGACCAGATAAACTTAAATTGGCGGGGACGAGAGACAGGGCCTTCTCTGTGGTGGCCCCTCAGCTGGGGAACTCCCTGCCTGGGGATATTAGATCGGCCCCGTCCCTCCTGACCTTTCAGAAAAGAGTGAAAATCTGGCTCTGTGAGCAAGCGTTTGGAACCTCAGCATGACCAGATAAACTTAAATTGGCAGGGATGAGAGACAGGGCCTTCTCTGTGGTGGCCCCTCAGCTGGGGAACTCCCTGCCTGGGGATATTAGATCGGCCCCCTCCCTCCTGACCTTTCAGAAAAGAGTGAAAATCTGGCTCTGTGAGCAAGCGTTTGGAACCTCAGCATGACCAGATAAACTTAAATTGGCAGGGATGAGACACAGGGCTTTTTTTTGGTGGCCCCTCAGCTGGGGAACTCCCTGCCTGGGGATATTAGATTGGCCCCGTCCCTCCTGACCTTTCAAAAAAGAATTAAAACCTGGCTCTGTGAGCAAGCATTTGGAACCTCAGCATGACCAGATAAACTTAAATTGGCGGGGATGAGAGACAGGGCCTTCTCTGTGGTGGCCCCTCAGCTGGGGAACTCCCTGCCTAGGGATATTAGATTGGCCCCCTCCCTCCTGACCTTTCAGAAAAGAGTGAAAATCTGGCTCTGTGAGCAAGCGTTTGGAACCTCAGCATGACCAGATAAACTTAAATTGGCAGGGATGAGAGACAGGGCCTTCTCTGTGGTGGCCCCTCAGCTGGGGAACTCCCTGCCTAGGGATATTAGATTGCCCCCTCCCTCCTGATGATTCGAAAAAGAGTGAAAACCTGGCTCTGCGAGCAAGCGTTTGGAATCTCAGCATGACCAGATAAACTTAAATTGGAATATGATCTAGGAATGGGTAAGACGATGGAGCGGTTGAAGATTTGAACAAGTCATAGTTTTTATAATTTTATTGTTTATTGCTTTTATGGCTTTTAAATATATTGTGATGTTTTTGCTTTTTACCTATGTGTGTATTTTTATAAATGGCATCTAATTGTTGCTGACTTGTACGGGATAAAAACTGATGTATGTAAATAAATAAATAAATAATGCAAAGGAGATTCCACCTGAACATTAGGAAGAACTTCCTGACTGTGAGAGTTGTTCAGCAGTGGAACTCTCTGCCTCGGAGTGTGGTGGAGGCTCCTTCTTTGGAGGCTTTTAAACAGAGGCTGGATGGCCTTCTGACGGGTGATTTGGAGATGATTTTCCTGCTTCTTGGCAGAATGGGGTTGGACTTGGCAGAATGGGGTTGAAGCTTCCTGGATCCTGGATCAGTGCTGGATGGACTGGGCTTCATCCAGACTAGATAGAGGTCCTCCTTGTCAGTCGCAAGGTCGATCGGGGTATAGGGTGGCAACCTGTGCTGGACAGGGTTACACTCTCCCTGAAGACTCAGGTCCACAGTCGGGGGTCCTCCTGGACACAGCGCTGATGCTTGAAGCTCAGGTGTTGGTGGTGGCCGGGAGGACCTTGTGACCATACCTCGAAAAGGCTGACTTGGCCACAGTGGTGCACGCCTTGGTTACATCTAGAATAGACTAATCTAACTCCGCAAAAGTGAATCCCACAAATAAGAAGTGCTGACTGTACTTTTCCAGTCATAACTTCCCATTGTCTGAGCTGCTAGAAGGACTAAGGAATTTACTTCTTGTTAAAGTTGAGTTCTAGGGGTGTAGATAGAGGATCTTTCTGCTCTTTGATGAGTCACATTTTGAAACCGAACTTTTGAGTTACTATTCACTGTGTCAGCTTTTGCCCTTCTTGTAAAGAATGGCTGCTGAACTTGCTGACCGAAAGTTCTGTGGTTCGAATCCAGGAAGCGGGATGAGCTTCCGCTGTTAACCCCACTTTCTGTCAATCTAGCACTTCAAAAACATGCAAATGTGAGTAGATCAATAGGTACCACTCTGACGGGAAAGTAATGGCGCTTCATGCAGTCATGCCTGCACATGACCTAGGTGACCGAGAAGTCGGATTTGGCTACGGTGGTCCACACCTTCGTTACCTCTAGATTGAACTATTGCAGTGCTCTGTATTTGGGGCTGCCCTTGGAGATGGCCCAGAAATTCCAATTGGTCCAACGGGTGGCAGCCAGATTATTAACTGGTGCGAATTACAGAGAGCGGTCAACCCTTCTGTTTAAGGAGCTCCACTGACTGCCATTTATTTTCCGGGCGCAATTCAAGGTGCAGGTCTTGACCTACAAAGCCCTGAACGATTTGGGACCCACCAACCTGCGTGACCGTATCTCCATCTACACACCCATGCGATCTCTTTGATCTTCCGGAGAGGCTCTTCTCTCGCACCCGCATCTCAAGTGCGACTTTCGGGGACGAGAGAGGGCCTTCTCTGTGGTGGCCCCCTGGCTCTGGAACTCACTCCCCAGAGATATTAGGCAAACCCCGTGCTAGCAATCTTCAGAAGGAACCTGAAAACATGGCTATTCCAATGCTCCTTCAGTTATTGAAAAACTCCCTGACCAAACTTTGCACTAAATGTCCTTAGAAGCACTTTATTTATGGTTCGTGCAATTGAATCCTCCCTCATTCTTGGATCCTCATCCTGATGATTTAGCTTTGAATTTGGCCCTGCCCAGTGAAATCCTCTGTTTTTAATTGCATGTTTCGTTTATTATATTTCTTTGCATTTTATGTATTTTATTTTCTGGTTATTGTTATGTTTTGTATTAATGTATGTACTGCACTGATGGGCTTGGCCTCATGTAAGCCGCACCGAGTCCTCCTGGGGGAGATGGAGCGGGGTATAAATAAATTATTATTATTATTATTATTATTATTATTATTATTATTATTATTGGTGGCGTCTACGGACAACGCTGGCTCTTCGGCTTAGAAATGGAGATGAGCACCAACCCCCAGGGTCAGACATGACTGGACTTAATGTCAAGGGGAAACCTTTACTAGGGAAGATTTGGTTTTGGTAGTCCATGATGGTTGCATAGATGGGGATGCAACCAGCTTTCAGTATTCCAACTCTTTGCCTTCTGTAGACACCACTCGGCCCCAGAAGAAGAACGAAGTGGATGGGAAAGACTACCATTTTGTTTCCACGGAGGAAATGACGAAGGATATTGCTGCCAATGAATTCCTGGAGTTCGGGAGCTACCAGGGCAACATGTTTGGCACCAAATTCGAGACGGTGCATAAGATTCACGAACAGGACAAGATAGCCATTTTGGACATTGAACCCCAGGTAAGGAACGAGAGATACCGTGGGCTTCTCTACATTTGGATGCGATGCGCACATCTGGGGCACTCATTAAACTTGCAGGAATCATGTGTCAGTGTTTACGAACCAGCAGTGGAAAAGAGAGACATAATAGAACCACCTCTTACTTCATTTCAATAGAAGGAAATGTGCTCAGAAAAAAAAATTCAACAATTTAGTAAACTGACCAAGAAAAATCAGGGTTGCTGGGTAGATGCATAAAATTTATTTAATTTATTTATTTACAGTATTTATATTCCGCCCTTCTCACCTTGCAAGGGACTCAAGGTGGATTACAGTGTACACATAGATGGCAAATATTCAGTGCCATAGACACACAACATATATAGACAGACACAGAGGCTATTTAACATTGCAGCTTTTTCATGAGGGTATTCTGGCCACCAGGGGAGCTGTCGCTTCACCGTCCATTTGTGACACTGATGAAGTACTTCCTCATTCTTTGCATGCTTGCTGGAGATTTTTATGGCGTCATAAATTAGCCTCCCCACATAAGCGGTACCTAAATTTCCTACTTGACAGATGCAACTGTCTTTCAGGCTGCACGGGTCAACAGCAAGCTACACAAATTGGTCAGAAGCTCACTCCAACCCAGGCTGGCTTCAAACTTATGATTTTTTGGTCAGAAGTGATCTTAATGCAGCTGACTCCCAGCCAGCTGTGCCACAGTCCCTGTGAAGCAAAAGAAGTTCGAGAACAACACTAGGACTGTGAAATATTCTATTTTAGAAGGGGAGTTTATCTTGTTCTTTTAGACAATCAAATTGAAGGGGGAAAAGATATTGCAAGCTGTGCTCCCCTAAATTAAGATAACTCGAGCCTGAGCATCCTGGACTGGTTTGTTAGAATTCATGCAGCTATGCTTTTATCTTTAAACTATCTTTATTTAGTTGCTGTGAGTCTTCCAGGCTGTATGACCATGTTCCAGAAGCATTCTCTCCTGACGTTTAGCCTGCATCTATGGCAGGCGTCCTCAGAGGTTGTGAGGTCTGTTGGAAACTAAGCGAATGGGGTGTATATATCTGTGGAATGTCCAGTGTGGGGGAACGAACTCTTTGTTTGCTGGAGGCAAGTGTGAATGTTGCAATTGGCCACCTTGATTAGCACTTAATGACATTGCAACTTCAAAGCCTGGCTGCTTCCTGCCTGGGGGAATCCTTTGTTGGGAGCTGTTAGCAGACCCTGATTGTTTCCTGTCTGGAATTTTCCTGCTTTTTGAGTGTTGTTTGTTATTTACTGTCCTGATTTCAGAGTTTCAATGGCTTCTCTGTGTAGTCTGGCATGGTGGTTGTGAGAGTGGTCCAGCATTTCTGTGTTCTCAAATAATATATTGCGTCCAGTTTGGTTCATCAGGTGCTCTGCTATGGCTGACTTCTCAGGTTGAATTAGTCTTCAGTGCCTTTCATGTTCCTTGATTCGTGTTTGGACACAACCTATTATTTGAGAACACAGAAATGCTGGACCACTCTAACAACCATCATGTCAGACTACACAGAGAAGGCATTGATTCTACAAGCATGTGGACAATTTCAACACAAAAGGGGAAACCATGAGAATGAACAAAATCTGGCTACCAGTATTTTAAAAACTCTAGAATCCAGTCAGGAAACAATTAGGGCCAGCTTACACCTCCCAACAAAGGATTCCCTCCAGGCAGGAATCAGCCAGGCCTTGAAGCTGCAAGGCCATTCAATGTTAATCAAGGTAGCCAATTGAAACATTCACACTTGCTTCAAACAGACAAGAGTTCTCTCTCCCACTGTAGATATTATCCCACAGCTATATAAACCTCACTTGTCTAGTTTCCAATAGACCCCACAACCTCTGAGGATGCCTGCCATAGATGTGGGCAAAACGTCAGGAGAGAATGCTTCTGGGACATGGTTGTACAATCCAGAAAACTCACAGCAACCCAGCCATGTTTTATCTTCAAACTATTTTCATTTAAGTCTCACTATTTCTCTGTCTTTTTAGACGTTGAAGATTATCCATACGGCCGAGTTTTCTCCTTTCATCGTGTTCATTGCTCCAACTGACAAGGCCAATGAGGTAGGGATGGATGTAAGGCTTAAAACAAACTTTGCACATACATATACACACATGCACACTCTTAAGACTTGGTTCTGGGACCAGTTTGAATGGCAGAGTCCACCCAATGTGGACTTTATATGTTTAGTGCATGTTCTTTGTTCTGCTAATTTGACACTTGTTGGCTGTCACTATTCATGCGTTTGTTTTGCTCTGGAGTCGGAAGGCTGCAGTCAAGTGCTGGTTCGCTCCATATCAAGCCCTACTTCTTTCCAGGGTTTCACTGGAGTTTGATATAGGCCCCTTCTACACTCTCCTTATATCCCAGGATCTGATCCCAGATTATCTGCTTATACCAGATTATATGGCAGTGGAGACTCAGCCATATAATTCAGATTATCCACGTTATCTGCTTTAAACTGGATTGTATTGAGTCTACACTGTCATATAATCCAGTTCAAAGCAGATAACCAGGTATCAGTCACTAGGAAATAAGGACAGTGTAGAAAGGGCCTTAGATCAGCATTTCTCAACTTTGGTGTCGGGACCCCTGGAGAGGTCGCAAAGGGGGGTTCAGAGGGGTTACCAGAGAACATATATTTCTGATGGTCTTAGGAACCTCTTTGGCAGCAACTACAACTCACAAATGACAAAATCCTCCCCAACCCCACAAGTATTCAAATTTGGGCATATCAGGTATTTGTGCCAAATTTGGTCCAGATCCATAGTCGTTTGATTTAGGTGAACTATCTATCCCCTAAATCACTGTCAACTCCTCCCAAATCCCTCTAGTATTTTCTGTTGATTATGGGGGTTGTGTGTGGGAAGTTTGGCCCAATTCTATCACTGGTAGGTACAAGGGGCTCTTTGATTGTAGGTGAACTATAAATCCCAGCAAACAGAATTCCTAAATGTCAAGTCTACTTCTCCCAAACTCAATCAGTGTTTACATTTGGGCATATTGAGTATTCATGCCAAGTTTGGTCCAGATACATCATTGTTTGAGTCCACAGTGCTCTCTGGATGTTGATGAACTGCAACTCCAAAACTCAAGGTCAATGTCCACCAAACCTTTCTAGTATTTTCTGTTGGTCATGGGAGTTCTGTGTGCCAAGTTTGGTTCAATTCCATCCTTGGTGGAGTTCAGAATGCTCTTTGAGTATAGGTGAACTATAAATCCCAGCAACTACAACTCCCAAATGACAAAATCAATCACACCCCACCAGTATTTAAATTTGGGCGTATTGGGTATTTATGCCAAATTTGGTCCAGTGAATGAAAACAAATCCTGTATATCAGATATTAACATTATGATTCATAACAGTAGCAAAATTACAGTTGTGAAGTAGCAACAAAAATAATGTTATGGTTGGGGGTCAACACAACATGAGGAACTGTATTAAGGGGATGCGGCATTAGGGAGGTTGAGAATCACAGCCTTAAATGGTTCCCCTCTCATCATCAATGCTGCATTTCCTTCTCTTCTGCAGACGGAAACCTTGCAACTGCTTCAGAAAGACTCCGGGGCCATCAGGAGCAGATATGCCCATTATTTTGATCTTTCGCTTGTGAATAACGGCATCGACGAGAGCCTCGGGCAGCTCCAGGCGGCGTTTGAGCGGGCATGCAGCTCTCCACAGTGGGTCCCCGTTTCCTGGGTGTACTGAGCTGGAACTGGAAGAAGTCACTCCCAGAAATCCCCCTCAATACATAGCATGCGGAGAACTTGGAGGGCCACCCACTCCCCTGCTCAACGCTTGGCACAGGCCTTCTGCTCCTACCTCAGAGCAGCTGTTACTTCTGGATCAGGCACCCTTGAAATACGAGGGTTATCCAGAAAGTAAGGTTACAAGATCTTTTTTAAAATGCAAAGAATGAATATATTTTAATAAAACTTAACATGGATTGTAGCATAGGTATTACATCATTTTTCTACACAATCACCATTCTGTTCAAAACATTTTGTCATCCGTGGGATGAGTTTTTGATGCCTGTGTCATAGAAGTTTCCCTCCACCTTTTTCAGCCAGTTTTTCAGTTCGATTTTCATGTCGTCGTCGTTATCAAAAAAGTGTTTTCCACCCAGGTGTTCCTTCAATTTAGTGAACAGATGATAGTCACTGGGAGCGAGATCGGGGTTGTCAAAGGAGTGGCTTAAAACATCCCAACCAAAGGAAGTCAACAACTCTTGTGTTGCATGAGCGGTGCGCGGACACGCATTGTCATGAAGGAGAAAGACTTCTGCCATCAGCATCCCATGATGTTTGTTTTTGATGGCTCTGTGAAGTTTCTTCATGTCTCATGATATATTCTGCACCCATTTTGTCACATTATGTTCTCTCCATAATCGATTTCATGACGAATCACAGCGGCATTCATGCCCTTAGCATTTTAGGTAGTGTATTACAGCACAAACTTTGCACTTGGAGGGAAACGGAATGAGGACACTCATCTCTAACCTTCACAACATCAGTTGATGAGCTACTGACGACTGGCACTGCTCGTTCGCTTCCACTGTCTTTCCGCAATACATTTTGTCATCCGCGTGACGAGTTTTTGATGCCTGTGTCATAGAAGTTTGTCACTTCAATTTTCACCTCGTTGTCGTCGGAAAAGTGTTTTCTACCCAGGTGTTCCTTCAATTTAGTGAACAGATGATAGCCACTGGGAGCGAGATAGGGGTTGTGAGAGGGATGGCTTAAAACATCCCAACCAAAGGAAGTCAACAAATCTTTGTATTGCATGAGTGATGTGCGGACGCGCATTGTCATGAAGGAGACAGACTTCTGCCATCAGCATCCCACGATGTTTGTTTTTGATGGCTCTGCGAAATTTCTTCATGGTCTCATGATATATTCTGCACACATTTTGTCACATTCTGTCCTCTCCATAATCTGAAACCATTTCACGCAGTGGCATTCATGCCCTTAGCATTTTAGGTAGCGTAATACAGCGCAAACTTGGAGGGAAGCAGAATGAGGACGCTCATCTCTAACCTTCACAACGCCAGTTGATGAGCTACTGACGACTGGCACTACTCTTTCGCTTCCACTGCCTTCCTGCAATACATTTTGTCATCTGTGGGACGGGTTTTTGATGCCCGCACACGCATTGTCATGAAGGAGACAGGCTTTCGCCGTCAGCATCCCATGACTTTTGTTTTGGATGGCTCTGCAAAGTTTCTTCATGGTCCCACAATATATTCCGTACCCATTTTGTCATATGCTGTCTTGACATTATGTCCTCTCCCATAAACTGAAATGATTTTGTGATGAATCTCAGCAGCATTCATGCCCTTAGCATTTTAGGTAGCATATTACAGTGCAAACTTTGCACTTGGAGGGAAACAGAATGAGGACGCTCATCTCTAACCTTCACAGCGCCAGTTGATGAGCTACTGACGACTGGCACTGCTCGTTCACTTCCACTACCCGCTATACAGCAATGATACCAACTTCTGAGAAAATTCCCTACGTGCCTTGTAACCTTACTTTCCGGATAACCCTCGTAATAACGAAGTGTGCCCTGAGACACCCTGAGGAGTGTGGCACCAGAGAAGCCATGGAGGGAGGATGAACCGTCTCCAATAAACACACCTCTCTAAATTACATCAAAAGCCATAAACTGCGAGTGGTCAGAGGAGCAAAGCTCTTTTAGAAATATTAAATATTTTTGCCTCTGTTTTAGATCAATCTGGTCCTTTATATATACTCAGCCCTACCTTTTTCTTTGGGTTATATGGCACGGGGGGGCACGAAATGAAAAACCGATAATGAAAATAAGTATTTTTACAATCTTGATTGAATATTTCCATAGGAATCTTCTGACAGAGGAGTTGGAGCAGGTAGGGGCAAACTTGGGTCCTCCAAGTGTTTTGGACTTCAACTCCCAGCATTCCTAACAGCCTCAGGCCCCTTCCTTTCCCCCCTCAGCCGCTTAAGCTTAAAAGGAAGGGGCCTGAGGCTGTTAGGGATGCTGGGAGTTGAAGTCCAAAACATCTGGAGGACCCAAGTTTGCACATGCCTGAACCAGAGATTCCTAGAGAGAACATTTCAGCAGAAGTCAAACCTGAAATGTGGAGGTCTCTGCTCATCCAGTCATAAAAGTGTGTGTTTGTGTGGGAAGGAGGCAACTGACACCTTCCCTTTCCCTACTACAGGTAGTCCCCAAGTTATGAACAAGATAGGTTCTGCAGGTTTGAACTTGTAAGTCGGAACAGGTACACTTTTTCAGTGGAACTCTAGCCAAAAGTATGCATATTTTAGCTATGGTTAGCATAGGGAAGGAGCCCCTGGTGGTGCAGCAAGTTAAACGGCTGAACTGCTGCACTTGCTGAGCAAAAGGTCTGGTTTGAATCCGGGGAGGAAGGTGAGCTCCTCTGTTAGCCTCAGCTTCTGACAAACTTGCAGTTCAAAAACATGTAAATGTGAGTAGATCAGTAGGTACTGCTCCAGCGGGAGGGTAATGGCGCTGCATGCAGTCATGTCGGCCACATGACCTTGAAGGTGTCTATGGACAATACCAGCTCTTCGGCATAGAAATGGAGATGAGCACCGACCCCCACAAGGGTTTACCCCACTGTGGGCTCCACATGGGATGGTGACTATTTTCCTATATCCTTGGTTCACAATCTTAACAATGATTGTATATGTGTATGTCTTTGCATTTACTGCCATATTGTATGCCGTGTGCCCCATAATCGTTTTGAAATCTGTTTTAATCACAGCCAGAGAGCAGGATGGCAAACTAAAATTGATAACAGAAGGTGTCCTTGGCTTGGGCTGTGTCTTCATGACAGGATGCCGTTACTTGCTGACCGAAAGGTCAGTGGTTCGAATCCAGGGAGCAGGGTGAGCTCCCGCTGTTAGCCCCAGCTTCTGCCAACCTAGTTCGAAAACAAGCAAATGTGAATAGATCAATAGGTACCGCTGGCACAAGGGTTTACCCCACTGCGCCACTATGGGCTCCACATGGGATGGTGACTGTTTTCCTACATCTTTGGTTCACAATCTTAAAAATGATTGTATATGTTTATGTCTTTGCATTACTGCCATAACGTATGCAGTGTCCCATAATCGTTTTGAAATCTGTTTTAATCACAGCCAAAGAGTGGGATGGCTAAAAATGATGTCTGAAGGCTTGGGTTGTGTCTTCACGTGAGGCTGTCGTTGCCAGTTTGTCATGAGCGTAGTTCAGTCCCTTTCCATTTGATATTTTTGCCAGATTTCCTGAATCCCATTCAGTTGAGTCCTTTTGCTTCTGACCTTCCTGAAATCCCTAATGGCAGTTGATGACTTTTAGTCAACTTTTCCCCTCATAGTTTCTAGGTTTGTTTCCTAAGAGCATGAGTAGTTTTTAACATCATTGCTCTAACTATATTTTGAAACAGATGCCCTTTGACAGAAAGCCACAAAAAAGCAGATAGAGGTGCTTTTATGAATGCAGACACAATCTTTATATGAATGTTATTAGGTCTCTATTGCAAGCTTTCTAATGGCGCAGCAGGTTAAATCGCTGAGCTTTGCTGAACGTTGACTGAAAGGTTGGCGGTTCAAATCTGGGAAGCAGGGTGAGCTCCCGCTGTTAGCCTCAGCTTCTGCCAACCTAGCAGTTTGAAAACATGCAAATGTGAGTAGATCAATAGGTACCACTTTGGCAGGAATGTAACAGCTCTCCATGCAGTCATGCTGGCCACATGACCTTGGAGGAGTCTATGGCCAACTCCAGTTCTTTTCGGCTTAGGAATGAAGACGAGCACCACCCTCCAGAGTCGGAGATGCCTACACTTAATGTCAGGGGGAAACTTTTAACTTTACTAACATAGTTAAGTCCAGTCATGTCTGACTCTGGAGTGTGGTGCTCATCTCCATTTCTAAGCCAAAGAGCTGCCGTTGTCCATAGACACCTCCAAGGTCATGTGGCCGGCATGACTGCATGGAGCGCCGTTACCTTCCCACCGGAGTGGTACCTATTGAGCTACTCACATTTGCATGTTTTCGAACTGCTAGGTTGGCAGAAGCTAGGGCTGACAGTGGAAGCTCATGCCGCTCCCCGGAGTTGAACCTGCGAACTTTTGGTCAACAAGTTCATCAGCTCAGCGCTTTAACCCACTGCGCCACCTAACTAACATAGGGAAGAGTAAACACCCCTGTGGTGTCTGTGCCTCTGTTCAGAGGATTTCACTTCTTTCTGTCCCTATGATCATTGGGTTTTGAAAAATGTGGCTTGTTGTGGAAACAAGGATGGGTAACAGCTTCATTAGAGTCCCCTTTCCCCCATGATAACAACTCTTCTGGGAATTTCCCTTTCAATGGGTAGATTTCTCTCACTTCCTGTTGTCTCATCCCTGTTCTTAATTATAAATCAGATGTTTGTAACTTGGGGACTGCATGTATGTATATGGATGTTTGGGCTGAGAATCCAAAACAGTCCGACCGTGAAGAATGTACTCTTGGGGCTCAAAGAAGGTGCTACGTTTTTGTTTTTATACTTGAGGCAAATGATAACAAGGAAATGAAACAATGCAGTCAGGACACGGCATGACAACTTCCAGCACCTGCATGCGGTATTTAAATGATTGTGGCCTAGTCCCATGACTTAGGGTAGCTCATTTGTTATATGCAAGGAAACTGCATCATCCTTTCTGCCTTTACCAAAAAGAATGACTTTGTTCCACTCTCACCTTCCCTTCCCTTCACCTGCAAACACAACTCAAGAGCAGGGAGTCCTCAGACTGCGGACTCCCAAGATTTGTTTCGTGTGCCTCGGAGTGATGGGGAAGGGAAGCAAGCACAACATGTAACACAATAATACCCAACCATTAAAATCTGGTGATGGTTGGACATTCAGTTGAGTCTATTACAGGAATAAACAAACAGCAATAAAAAATACGAAAGTATTGTGCAACTTGTACGTCCTTTTGTCATTATATGCCATGCTCCAGCCTGAAATTAACTCACTGAAGGTGAATGAGACTAAAAGCAAGGTTGGAACAAAGTTTAAGACAACCACTTAAGTTGCAATTATCCAACACATACGAGGGTTGAATGAAAAGTAATGCCTCCACCTTCGTTACTTGGGTTTGGATGGGAATATTTCAATAAATCAAACACAGTATTTTCTGTTGGTCATGGGGGTTCTGTGTGGGAAGTTTGGCCCAATTATCTCATTGGTGGGGTTCAGAATGCTCTCTGATTGTAGATGAACTATAAATCCCAGCAACTACAACACCCAAATGTCAATGTATATTTCCCCAAACTCCACCGGTGTTCACAGTTGAGCAGATTGAGTATTTGTGCCAAGTTGGGTCCAGATCCACCATTGTTTGAGTCTACAGGGCTCTCTGGATGTAGGTGAACTCAAAGTCAATGCTTACGAAACCCTCCCAGTATTTTCTGTTGGTCACGGGAGTTGTGTGCCAAGTTTGGTTCAATTCCATCATTGGTGGAGTTCAGAATGCTCTTTGATTGTAGGTGAACTATAAATCCCAGCAATTATAACTTCCAAATGACAAAATCAATCCCCCCAACACCACCAGTATTCAAATTTGGGTGTATCGGAGATTTGCGCCAAATTTGGTCCAGTGAACGTAAATACATCCAGCATATGAGGTTTTTACATGACATTCATATCAGTAGCAAAATTAGAGTTATGAAGTAGCTATGAAAATCATGTTATGGTTGGGGGTCACCACTACATGAGGAACTGTATTAAGGGGTCACGGCATTAGGAAGGTTGAGAAACACTGTTCTAAGGATTATTTCTGTTTTCTGATGGTCTTTGGCGACCCCCTCTGACACCCCCTCAAGCCCCCCCCCCAGGGTCCCGACCCCCAGGTTGAGAAACGCTGCCTTAGAATGTGCTCTTTAACTACCACTATTCACTTTTCCACATAATCACCAGACAATTGGATACATTTCTGCCAACGATGAATGAGTTTTCTGAAGCCATCACGGAAGAAGTCAACACTGTTTCCGCAACCCACTGTAACTTTAGAACCTGCTTATATTTTCTGTGGAGCGCCCAGTGGCGCAGCAGGTTAAACTGCTGAGCTGCTGAACTTGCTGACCGAAAGGCTGGCAGTTCAAATCCGGGGGAGAAGGGTGAGCTCCTGCTGTTAGGCCCAGCTTCTATCAACCTAGCACTTTGAAAACATGCAAATGGGAGTAGATCAATAGGTACCGCTTCTGCGGGAAGGTAATAGCACTCCATGCCGCCCACATGACTTTGGAGGTGTCTACGGACAACGCTGGCTCTTTGGCTTAGAAATGGAGATGAGCACCACCCTGCAGAATTGGACACGACTAGACTTAATGTCAAGTGGAAACTTTTACCTTTACGTTTGTATCTTCTATAGCGGTCCAAACAATCAAACAACAATTAGATTTTGCAATCTTTTAATGTAAAAAATTAAGAACTGTGTCTCCTTTTAAAACCAACTTTGGTACATTGGTCTACAATTGGAGGGAAAAATAAAGGCCTGGCTAACATCACCCCAAACTGCGAGCGCAATATGCACACAGCTCCCAACATTGAATATGCGACCATAATACAGAGCCCTAACTTTCTCAAGGCATTTGCCTCAAGACAAGGGGAAAGGTTATATTCCCCCAAGTGGGCTAGATCAAGGGGTCATTGGGCAAATGTTGCTTATACACAGCTCCCCTTTAAGCTAAGAAACTGAAGAACCATTTCGAAAATCTCTCTCAGCCCAAGAAAAGTGTGGCTTGTGAGGAACAGGTTACGGAAATGAGACCCTGGGCACTCTCAAAAGGTAAACACCACAGGAAAGTGGCATCAAGAGAGGCTTGTCTTTGAACATACTCACTGAAGATAGTCAAGGCAAGTACAAGGGAAGGGCATACACAATTAAGAACCTATCCACACAGCCATTGACAACCCTTTACCTGCATCAGCACACAAGCTGAACACAATGAATGGCAGGAGAGATGGGGGACGGTTCAGGTGTGCCATGATTGAGGGCAACATTGACGCATTCTCAGAAATCCTGAAACGCTCGCATCATTGACTCATAGAGAAGTCCTCGAGGGCCAAGGAGTTTTGCTACCTCAACGGCCTCCAGGTATCCTTAGAACAGGACACAGGAGGACTTGCCACAATAAACCCCCTCCCAACCTGTACAATACTTTTTTTTGCACAGCAATTAGGACAATTCTCTGCTCATTGATCCAGTCTGAATTTCTGTTCTGGTTTCATTTCTCCTTATTCAACAGATCTGGATAAGTCTTTCGAGTTACTCTGAACTCTCCTCCGCTTCCTCTTTCTTCTTCTTCTTTTTCTTCTTCTTTTTCACGCTTGTGTCACTGACCTGGGAAAGAAACAACAGGCCTTAAAGCAGTGACCCAATTCTATTGTTGATCGAGTTCAGAATGCTCTGATTATAGGTGAACTATAAATCCCAGCAACTCCAACTCCCAAATGTCAAGGTCTATTTTCCCCAAACTCCACCTGTGTTCATATTTGGGCGTATTGAGTATTCGTGCCAAGTTTGGCCCAGATTCATCATTGTTTGAGTCCACAGTGCTCTCTGGATGTAGGTGAACTGCAACTCTCAAACTCAAGGTCAATGCCCCCCAAATCCTTCCAGTATTTTCTGTTGGTCATGGGAGTTCTGTGTGACAAGTTTGGTTCAATTCCATCATTGGTGAAGTTCAGAATGCTCTTTTGATTGTAGGTGAACTATAAATCCCAACAACTACAACTCCCAAATGTCAAGATTTATTTTCCCCAGACTCCGCCACATTTGGGCATACTGAGTATTCGTGCCAAGTTTGGTCCAGATCCATTATTGCATGAATCCACAGCACTCCTCTGGATATAGGTGAACTACAACTCCCAAACTCGAGGTCAATAACCACAAAACGCTTCCAGTGTTTTCTGTTGGTCATGGGAGTTCTGTGTGCCAAGTTCGGTTTAAATCCATCGCTGGTTGAGTTCAGAATGCTCTTTGATTGCAGGTGAGCTATAAATCCCAGCAGCTCCAACTCCCAAATGACAAAATCAATCAATCCTCCTCCTAACTCTACCATTATTCAAATTTGGGCATATTGGGTATTTGTGCCAAATTTGGTCCAGTGAATGAAATTACATCCTGCTTATCAGATAATTGCATTATGATACATAACAGGAGCAGAATTACAGTTATGAAGTTGCAAAATAATGTTATGGTTGGGGGTCACAACAACATGAGGAAATGTATTAAGGGTTGTGGCATTAAGAAGGTTGAGAAACACTGCCTTAAAGTGTCACATCCTCCAAAGGAGCCAGGATCCTCCTCCGCCGCTATTTCCAAGCTTCTCTACTCCACAAAAATGCCAATGGTGGAATATGCAAAGCTAGAGGAAGACATGACACCCAGGAAATTTCAACGGGTGGAGTTCTCATCTCATCAAGCATAGTCTAAGCATGTGTTAAAATAGGGACCTCTTTACAATTATTTATTTACTGCATTTATTTATTTATTGCATTTCCATTCATTTAAGGCCCATTGCTAAGAAGCAAACAAAACAAACAAAATGCCACAACACTCCTGCCCACAAAGAGATAGACTTACCACTTCAGTCTGATCCTCGCTGCTCTCAGGAGACTCCTTCTTCTTCTCTTTCTTTTTCTTCTTCTTTTTCTTGGTCTCCACCTGCGGCTCTGGAGAATCGGAAGGAGTCGAGGCCGCCTCTCCCTGTTCTCCATCACTCTCCGTCTCCCTCTTTCTCTGGGAGAAACAGAGATCAACAGGAAGGTTATGATCCGATGACAAAATACGACGCTATGACAAAATATGTGACTGACATATCTATAGGCCAGAGATATGGATAATGTAACCCTCCAGATGATACTGGACTGCAACTACCATATTATTTATTTATTTGGAATATTTATATTCCGCCCTTCTCACCCCGAATTGGATTCAAGAGTGGATCACATAACACATACATGGCAAGCATTCAATCCTGTTATACACTGACAAGACAGAAAACTGTACATTGTAAAGGTTTCCCCATGGCATTAAAGTCTAGTCATGCCTGACTCCCAAAGAGATGGCATTGTCCGTAGACACCTCCTAGATCATGTGGCTGGCATGACTGCATGGAGTGCCGTTACCTTTCCACTGGCACAGTACGTATTGATCTCATCACATTTGCATGTTTTTGAACTGCTAGGTTAGCAGAAGCTGGGGCTAACAGTGGAAGTTCACCCCGCTCCCAGGATTCAAACTGCCAACCTTTTGGTCAGCTCAGCAAGTGGTTTAACCTGCTGCACCACTAGGAGCCTCTAAGTGTACATAGAGGCATATAGAGGATTTCCCATCTTCGGCATCTTGGAGACTGTGTTCAGTTCTGGCCACTGGGGGTGCTGTCACTCCACTTTTCCCTGTCATAGAGCTTTGTTCGGAAGCTTGCTCCTTAATCAACTTGCCGGCATTTCCTAATAGGTGCTTTAAATACCTCCCCGCTACGCAGTACCTATTTATCTACTCACATTGCTGTTTTCAAAACTGCTAGGTGGGCAGAAGATGGGCTAAAGGGCAAGAGCTCAACCTGAACTGTCAACCTTTAGTTTAGCAAGATTTTTTGCAGCTTGGTGGTTAACCTGCTGTGCTAAAAAAATACTTTGTAATTGACTGGGCTGGCTATATCTGATGGGAAATGAATTCATTCCTTAGCCCTGCTATAGACTGTTGCAAGCCATAAGAGGGCCAATAATAATAATAATAATTAATAATAATAATAATAATCTTTATTTATACCCCGCCATCATCTTCCCAATGGGAACTCGGGATGGCTTACATGAGGCCAAGCTCAGACAACATATTACAGCAAAATAAAACCAAAACATAAGCAACAGCATCAAAATTAAATTAAAAATATATGAATACACTAACAAAATAACATTGCAATAAACACAATCACAGTGATAGTGGGCGGGCCACATGTGCAGGAAAAAATGTTTAAAAAAACTTGAATGTGATAAGAATAGGAGCAAGTTATCTGCAGGGAGCTCATAAAGAAACGCAGGGTTGTGAAACTAAACTTCCCATTAAGGGGGGGGGGGGTGTACTCGAGTGACAGAACATTAAATACCCACAACTACATTAAAGGATTTAGACTAGTAAACAATCCCATTCGCAAGATACAAAACAATACCAGGGTTTCTCAACCAAATATTGTTTTTTGTTTTGTCTACTTTCTATTATTAAAAAAGGAGACCAAGCTAAAAAATACAGAAGCAAACCCACCTTTGGTGCTCTTTCTGGCTCCACTTGGGCAACTTCTTGCTTTACCTCTTTCTTGACCGCGGAGCTGCAAGGAAACAGACAACTTGGTTCACGTCTATCAATCAGGTCCAAATCAACTTTTCTCCATGACCGTTTTATTATTCCCGTTTGGGATGTATGGAAAACTGGCAAAAGCCCCCCACGTGCAATGAGGCCTGGGTGCAGCTTTCCTGCATTTCCTCTTGCAGGCTGACTCCCTCTAGAGTCACAGAAAAGAGGCTAAAAAGGGATAACTGCCTGCTCAACTCACCCAGGGAAAATGGCAGCCCGAGACCATTCTCTTTTGCATGAGTTTCAAAAAAACCACCCAGAATACTGCAGCAGCAGACATTACCTACTGTAATCTACATAATCCTTCTTCCAGGACGGGGGAGTGTTGTTATTGGGCTTGCCGTGTGCATCCAGCAAGCCTTCTTTGATCATCATCTTTTTCTGAGATGCCTGAAGGAAGTAAAAGGAAAGCGGCGTCAGTAGGCCTTAAGGTTCATAAGCAACCCTTGGCAACAAAAGATTGCTCCAAGGTGTTTATCTGTCTCTGGTTCTCACTAATCTGAGCCATCAGCCTTGGGTGATAGATAAGAGTCCTCTTTGCACAGAGTGCTCAAGGAAATCTATTTTACATCATTTGGCTCATCAGAGAGAAGTTCAGTAGCATCTAATGCAGGCATGGGCAAACTTGGGGCCTGCGGGTGTTTTGGACTTCAACTCCCACAATTCCTAACAGCCTCAGGCCCTTTCCTTTTCCCCTCAGCCGCTTAAGCTTAAGCGGCTGAGGGGAAAAGGAAAAGGCCTGGGGCTGTTAGGAATTGTGGGAGTTGAAGTCCAAAACACCCGCAGGCCCCAAGTTTGCCCATGCCTGATCTAATGTGACAATAGTTAATGGAAACTGATCAAGTTACGGATGTAAATAACCATGCCTGAAAGATCAAAACATTGGGTCCACTGCAGAGGTAGGGAACTGTAAGGATGCAACACGTAGCCTTAGTAATTGTGTCCAATTCTCCTGTTTGTGCCCTCCCAGCCCCACTGAGGACTCACTTTAGGGCCAAGCCCCCACTTGCGCGGGTAAGTGTCCCTTTCCATGATCACCCGCTTGATCTTTGCCACAACTCCATGGTCACAGGTCGAGATCACGGCAGTCGTCATCAAGGCAATGGCTGCAAGGAGACAAGAAAGGAAAAATGGAAAACCTCACAACCTCTGAGGATGCCTGACACAGATGTGGGCAAAACATCAGGGAGAATGCTTCTGGAACATGGCCATACAGCCCAGAAAACTCACAACCCAACACAAGCCTGGTTGTGCACTTACAATATTACCATTGCCTAGTAAACCCCTATCCTACTTTGACTCCTTCTAACTTATTTTTCAAGGAGATGTGGATGCATGAATTCATTCTACATAGCCACCACCTTCAAAAGATTTACCACAGGGGTGGGAGAATGTGTGGTCTTCCATATACTGTTGCATTGCAACTTCCATTACTGATCACTGTCTTTTCTGGATATAGCTAATGGGAGTGACAGATCTGTTAGAAATATTAAAAATTAACTAGGTATTTTTAATTACAAAATGTGAGTCAAGCATTGAAAGGGTTAAATGGATGCAATGACCCAGCAAAAGCAACCGTTCAATGTAAGCAGGTGTGCCTGCAGCTTGATAGCCCTTAGTCTGTGAGGGGTCTCTGTGGAAGAAAGGCCTCAGCGTGTTAGCAGGCCTCAGTATGAGTAGGCCTCAATGGGAGAAAGCACTCAGTCTGAGAAAGTGATAGCAAAAGCTACAATTCAATGTAAGCAGGTGTGCCTGTAGCTTAGTAGCCCTCAATCTGTGAGAGTCTTCCGTCTGTGAGGATTTTCTGTGGAAGAAGGGTCTCAGTGTGTTAGTAGGCCTCAGTATGAGTAGGCCTCAGTGGGAGAAAGCTAGTTCAATATAAGCAGGTGTGCCTGTAGCTTAGTAGCCCTCAGTCTGTGAGGAGTCTCTGTGGAAGAAAGGCCTCAGTGTGTTAGCAGGCCTCAGTATGAGTAGGCTTCAGTGGGAGAAAGGCCTCAGTATGTGAAGGCCATGTTAGAGGATGGAAGCCCTCGTATATGAAGCTTCAGTGTGAAGGCTGCTGTGTGTAAAGCCATTGTGTGATGCTCCTGTGTAAGCTCAGTGTGCAAAGAGGCTCTGTGAGACCAAAGCTATTTATCTGCCTGAGAAATAAGCCCAGCATTGAAGCAAAGAAGTATACTTTATTTGTGTTATGGAAACCTTGTTCTTGTAAATAATGCAACCATATTATTTTACTATAAAGAAAAGCCTTCTATGGAAGAAATAATAATAATAATAATAATAATAATAATAATAATAATAATAATAATATACTTTATAACCCGCCGCCACCACCCAAAGGGGACTTGGGGCGGCTAACATGCCAAGTCCAAAATAATACAACATAATAAACACACAATAACAAAATACATCATAACAAAATCAACAATAAAACAGCATAGTAAAACCAGACACAGAGGGCGAGCCAAATAACATTGGTCTGTGTGTATTTTTTCTATCACTTTGGACTACTGGTTGTGGGCTACGCTGCTGCTGCTACGTTACTCTGCTGTGCATTTATGAGGAGGGACTTTTGTTATTAAGCCCACTCGCCCAACAAGATCAACAGCACTGGGAAGGTAAAGCATTCCCCAGCTTTGGCTTACTGCATCCCATTCCACAGTGCTTCTCTAGCATGACACTTGCTTTATAACAGGCATACACAAACTGCAGCCCTCCAGGTGTTTTGGACTTCAACAATTCCTAACAGCCTACCAGCTTTAGAAATTAAAACTACTCTTTCAAGGTTCTCCTCCTCCCAGGAAGAAGAGAGGCACAAGGGCACACAAACCTTTAAAAGTGAGGTGAAATATGAACTGAATTTCAAGCTGAACAGCACTGTGTCTCATGATCCAAACTCAGTGCTTAGACTACTACAGAAAAGCACACCAGTGACATGTGATCAGACAGTTTCATTCTTCTTGGTTGGTGTCAGAGCCCCTCAGAAAGGCGCCCTGGCCCCGCAGCTTCTGCCCATACCTTGCCATTAGCCAACCAGCCATGCTCCCAACCCCCAGAAGAACACTGGAAGGTTGGAAGATGCCTGGAGGCCAATCACCCAGGACTCCAGAACGGGGACCCGAATGTGGCAGGAAGGGCAGAGCAGCGACACTCAGAGAATGGATAAACTTCATCATCATTTCACATGTAGTCCAAAGCACAGAGATACCTTTGGAAAAACAGAGTGGTAGTGCACTTGAGGATGCACACAGAAATCAAATGCCCTAATACACACTTATTCTGGGAACTCAAATGCTTATTTATTACAGGCATAATTCAAACTGGAATTCCTGCAAGTGCTTCTAATAGGGAACCCTGGCTTCCACTTCTTACCTGTACAGATGGCCTCTCCTTTTGTGGTGATCACAACAATGTCCTGATTGACTTCAATGCCATCTTCGTATCGCAGCACTCCAGGTAGCATGATCTTCGCCCCGTAACAAATAGCATTCACCTGAACACAAAATCAATGGATTGAGAAGAAATTTATTTTCAGAACTCCAACATTTGGAACTATTCAACACCCCTCACCACAACTCTTTAGTCCTACAGGTACAAAGTAGGAATGCTAACAGAGTTGGCGATGTCTTAGTAACAGAGCTGCAGATTGTTTCATGTTTTGAAATGTTTAACACAGTATTTATTGCAGTGTTTCTCAACCTGGGGATTGGGACCCCTGGGGGGTGTTGCGAGGGGTCGCCAAAGACCATCAGAAGACCATCTTGCCCAATTCTAGTATTGGTAGGGTTCAGAATGCTTTTTGACTGTAGGTGAACTATAAATCCCAGCAACTACAACTTCCAAATGTCAAGGTCTATTTCCCCCAAACTCCACCAGTGTTCGCATTTGGGCATATTGAGTATTTGTGCCAAGTTTGGTCCAGCTCCATCACTGTTGGAGTCCACAGTGCTCTCTGGATGTAGGTGAACTACAACTCCCAAACTCAAGGTCAATGCCCACCAAACCCTACTAGTATTTTCTGTTGGGAGATCTGTGTGCCAAGCTTAGTTCAATTCCATCCCTGGTGGAGTTCAGAATGCTCTTTGGTTGTAGGTGAACTATAAATCCCAGCAACTACAACTCCCAAGGTCCAGAGAATGAAAATGAAAATCCATCCTGCATATCAAATATTTACATGGCAATTCATAACAGTAGCAAAGTTATAGTTATGAAGTAGCAACGAAAATCATTTTAGGATTGGGGGTCACCACAACATGAGGAACTTTATTAAGGGGTCACGGTATTAGGAAGGTTGAGAATCACTGATTTCTTGCATAATAATCTGTGAGAGACTATCATGCCATCTCCTGCATCTCTGGGGAACTCACCGCACTGTCCTTCATCACCAGCCGCTTGTGAGATACCAGAAGCTTCTCCAAAGGGTAGATAACTCTCCTGAGGTACGTTTCATCCTTGTTGTTGTCATACTGCCACTGAGCATCCAGCACATCATGCATGGTCACCATGTGGTCCTGAAAGATGACAACACACCACTATTTTAGAACATCTGTTTGGAACACAGAAGAAACTACCTTCTGAAAGGTCAGGCTGAATTGGGGGTTGTCACGTGAGTAATAGGAGCCCTTCTGAATCTCAGGAAAGGCCCTTCCTCGTCTCATTTTCTACTGAATGGAACTTAATGGATCCTCATTAAATGACCCATATGCTTTAACACTCTGCTCTGATTCTCTCATACAACCAATTTTATTTGTTACTTATCTTGTCGGGTGTCACATATAGCTGTCATACTCCACATTTTTTTCCCTGAGGGTTCCCCCAGTACAGATGTGAGCCGACCTAACTTCAAAGTTGTACAAATCTCGAAGAACTGCGGGCAGGCTCAGATTCATTCACTTGTAACTCTTAAGACATCGCCATTTTCTATTTCATACATTTATGTCAGAAACATTAAATATTAACTGGGTATTTTTGATTACAAAAGTGTGAGTCAAGCACTGAAAGAGTTAGTGGGCCAAAGCTAGCATCACCTTGAGGAGTAGGCTGAAGCCTGTTAAGTGTGCCTCAGTGAGGGAACACCTCAGTCTGTGTGAGGAGGCTTCTCTGTGAGGTAGGGCTCACAGTATGAAGAAGGCCTGGTGTGAGAGAAGCTTCGTGTGAGAAAGCTCCAGTGTGAAGGCTTCTGTGTGCAAAGCTACTATGCATTTGTTTATTTGTGTTATGGAAACCTAGTTCTTGTAAATAGTGCAGCCATATTAGTTTACTACAAAGAAAAGTCTATGGAAGAGACAACATTTATGTGTGTTTTTGTTCTTTTTATCAATTTGGGCTACTGGTTCTGGGTCATGCTGTTGCTAATGAGTTGCTCTACTGTACGTTTATGAGGGGCTTTTGTTAAACCCACTCACCCAACAAGGGTTATGGGCCCAGTATAACTCAGTACAGACCATACTGAAGCTGAAGAAATATAGCAACGACTGCCCTTTGAAAGGCTGAATGCCATCAATTATGTCACATGGCCATTTAAATGATTTTTTGTTAAGTGACTATTTATTTATTTATTTATTTATTTATTTATTTGACTCGTATACCGCTACTCCCAATTTGGCTCGGAGAGGTTTACAGCAGTAGATTAAAACAATARAATTAACTTTAAAATACAATAAAAACAAGAACAGACCTAGTCCCGAGTTATTCACCCATCAAAAGCTTGTCGGAAGAGAAAGGTTTTACAGGCTTTCCGAAAAGCAAGTAGATCTCGGATAGATCGGGTTTCAACTGGCAAGGCATTCCATAAATAAGGGGCCACAATCGAGAAGGCTCTCTGCCTAGTAGAGGACAGATGATAAGTCCGGATGTTGGGGACTTCAAGCAAATTTTGGTCTTCAGACCGAAGTAATCTCTGGGGTTGGTAGGGCAATCCCCCAGATAAAGAAGGAAAAGAAGATGACAAATTGAGGGTACATCAGCATGAAAAGGCTTCTATCATATTGACATTAGATGAAAGTCAACTGCCACATGTAAGGAATGCCCAGAATTATGGGGCTCTGTCAGCTAATTCTGTGGATGGAAAAAAGACTGGACAGAAAAGCACAAGCTTCTCGCCGCTGACGTTTTCCAACTATTCCCTTTCCCAAAGTTTAATTACCAGAACAGGGGAGGTTACCCTGAACTGAACTCAACACTTTGGAAAGTCACAACATGCATACACTTCCCAGGACACACCTTTTCTCCCATGACTCCGGAGCGCACTCGCCGAAGCTCCTGCATCTGGCCTCCGACCCCGAGCAGCAAGCCCAGGTGCACACACAGCGTCCGGATATAGGTCCCCGCTTCACAACTCACCCAAAAGATACCTGAAGAGCAAAACATAGTAAAAGAGCCTTCTTCAATTCAAGGGATGTACTGTCTCTGTATGGGTGTCAATAGAGCACATAGTGGAGAGCCATCAGCATTGGGTGATAGATAAAAAGTCATCTTTGCACTGTGTGCTATGTGATCTGTTTTGCATCATTTGGCTCAGAACGCACATTCAGAAAGTACAGAGGTGAGTAGAATTGAGCATACCCTCAAACCCACACTTCAGGAGTGTGCTTGTTGTGGCTCAGCTAATGGCTGAGGATTTTTCAAATACTTCTTCGGAGGATAAGGGAATTGATGGGTTTCAAAGTACAGAGTCTGTCGGTGATTTGAGAGAATTGCAGGCCAAAGAGGCCCCCACTTCCTGTGCTTGTTCCCAAACAACAGACAGTAAAGATAGTTGTTCCTATGTGAAACGACCTTCGGTAGATAGGGAGTTATCCCACGAAGTCAGATTAGGTCTCCGGACAGAGAGTGAAAGATAGAATAATTGGGCATTCTGCGAGACTGTGAGAAGGTCTGTGGAAGACCTTGAAGCCCGGGTGTGTTAGACATAATCTCATGGCTTCTTGATTGGGCTTAGGCTTAAATTAAGTGATGTTTATTTGGTGCCTTCAGCGCAGACAACATTACCATAAGGAAGTGAAACCTAGCTAGGCTCTCAAGTTCCTGTACGTGCCTATGTTCCTGGAAGGGTTTGCCTTGGAAAAAGTTCCCGTTTTCATATTAATGGATTCATTCCTGAGTTTTTAGTTCTCTTGATTCCATGTACCTTGCCATTTTTGGATTTCCACTGTTTTGTAGATGGACTGCTGCTATTTTGTATTTCCTTCTCTGCTGCTCTTTTGGGAAAGGCTTTTTTCCCCTTTGTACATGCTTTTCTCAATTAATTGCTGTAGCTATTACAACTGGACTCTGGTGTGGTGCTGGGTGAAAGGTATCTCAAGGCGATAGTGCAACAGTGCTCACTTCAACCCAGAGACCTTAGGGTAGGACTACTTCCGCAGCCTGTTGATTTACCCACTTCAATTGTGGATGAAAACTAACAGCAACAAAGAGATGGGGGCAGTATGTGTTTCTGGTATTTCTCTGGCTGGTTGCATCTACTGGGGCAAGAGAGGGCAAGCCCTTGCCAAAGCCACTACATACACAGATGTTGCATGAGGCATCGAATTGCTGCCAATTTGTGAACTGCTCTGAGTCGCCTCTGGGCTGAGAGGGGCGATATATAAATATGGTAAATAAATAAATAAGGCTGGACGTCTGTCAGGTCAGAACAGTGTGTACGCTCCCCAAAAGGAATGGGGTGAGATTTTCTATTTTACTCAATAACAAGAAAAGCTACATGCCCTGTTCTGAAGGGGGAAAGTAGTCTCATTACCCAATCTTCTTTCTGGATCATATTCAACCAATTTGCTTTCATAGATGGTTCTGACTCTCAACTGCCTCTTCACTGCAGCAATAAGTGGAGGACGTTGGAAGAGGGCACCCGTCAGAGTTTCTATTGCCTACGGAATGAAACAGATTGGATTTATTATTTATCGTGTCAGAAGCCAATTGAGGGTACAGTTGTAATGTATTTAAAAACACAAAAGTAAAAAACTTGGCATTATGCTAAATGTCCTTTGACCAGTAGCTGGCCACTTGGAGTTCCTCTGGTGTTGCTATAGGAAGGTCCTCCATTGTGCATGTGTCAGGGCTCAGGCTGCATTGTACTAAATGGTCTGTGGTTCGCTCTCCTCCACACTTGCACGTCATGGACTCCACTTTTGTAACCCCATTTCTTAAGGACCAACAGATCAGATGCCACCATGTGAGAGCTCACCCAAATGATCAGACCCACAGTATCAATAAGAAGCAAAGTTGCAGTCATTCCCTCCTCAAAAAACACAACTGAGACTTGCTTCCAAAGAAAGCTAGTTGTAACACTTGTTCTGTCCAAATTAAAGTCCATTGCTCTGATCCCAGGGAAATGGCTTCCTCAATCATAGTTATTTCATGAAGTCTAACATATTGAAGACTGCCAAATTTGAGTAAGCTCTCCAACCTAAAAAATGTTATCCCATTATATATATATACTACCTTTATATTGTAGTTTTCCCAATTTAAATCCATATACGCTTTTCTACAATCATAAACACAGCCATTTTGCATATACATCTATATAAATAAAAATGTAATGTTCGTTTGTGGGATTAACATAACTCAAAAACCACTGGGTGAATTGACACCAAATTTGGACACAAGACACCCATCAAGCCAATCACTCATAAAAACACTGAAAAACACAGCAGAAGAGACTTAAAAAACCAAAAAATACATTACAACACATGTACAAAAGCACACATATACACAGGATGGCCAAAGCAACGCGTGGCAGGGGACTGCTAGTGTTTTACTAAAATTATTCACATTTAAATTTTGATCTACACACACTTTGCAAGTGTCAATTAAATTTCCTGCTTGGCAGAGACTTACCCTTGAAAGCTGACCTTCACTTTCAATTGCATTGTGCAGCCGAACGATTCCCACATACTCTTTCCCTAGAAAGACACCAGAAAAGTTAGCCAGGAAGATTCAACTGAATTTTACTGTTCCAGTAACTTGCAAATGAGAATGCACTTCTATTTTTGTTAAAGAGAAAAGCCAGGCGGCATACCTGCACTCTGCTGGGACTTGACCAAACGGGTTGCTCTCTCAATGCATACAATCAGGCAACCAGTCACTTTGGGGTCCAGTGTGCCACTGTGACCTGTCTTCTCCACGCGGAGGATACGACGGATCCAGGCCACGACCTCATGGGAAGATGGATTGGAGGGTTTATCCAGGTTGATGAAGCCTGTCCTAAGACAAAAACATGCGACTCTGCTAGCCAACTGTGTATGTTTCTATTTGCCGCTTATTGATCTGAAATTAGGGACCAAGATTCATCTTGACTCAAATCAAACTCCACAACTTATAAGATCTTCAGTAGCTGCAGTGGGCTTGCTAAAATACCAAACTGTATGCTAGACCTTCAGGCTATAGTACCAACGAATGGGTCACTGCATCAACCTTTTGTTACTCAGCCTGCTCCCATTCTAACCAACTAGCAAATAATTTATATGGCAGAGCAGAAACTCTATTTCCTTGTATAGCACGCCTCTTCAACCAGTGGCCCTCCATGTATTTGGGACTTCGGCTCCCAGAATTCCTAGCTAGGGCTTCAGGGAGCTGGAGGCTTAAACACCTGGAGGGCTACTGGTTGAAGAGGCTATACAGCAATACTATCCATGGGGACCAACTCCCCCCAGCACCAACTGCCGCTCTGGGCCAGAGTGAAGAGAGAGGGGGCCAGAGGACAGTTCCATCTTGTCTCCTGTGTTATTCTAATAATATCATATAATGTAATATAATATATTGTATATACATATAATATTTATAATATTATGATGTACTACAATATAATACCATTAATAACATGATATAATAATTATATCTTTATATTACATATAATATTACTAATAATATTACAATATAATGGTATAGTACAATATAGTAATATTTAATACTGATATTGTACTATGCTAAAATATAATATATTGTATGCATATATATCTTGTAAGCCACTCTAAGTCCCCTTCGGTGTGAGAAGGGCAGCATAGAAATGTCATAAATAAATAAATAAATAAATAGATGCAATAAATTAACATTTTTGAAGATAGACTAAATACAGTAAAATCAATCTAAATCAGTTTTCTTCAACACCACCGAAGCCCGACCTAACTACAACTCTCAAAATCTCCCAATCATGACCACTGGCCAAACTGGCTAGAGGTTCTTAAGAGCTACATTCCAAAAAAGCAACTTTTCCATGCTTTCAAAATAATATGGTAGTGACCAATGCTTGCAGGCTCCAAGGAGAATGATATTCCCAATTTCTGTTTGATAAGGTCCACTCATCCAGTTCTATGAAACTGCAGAAGGAACACTATCAGAGGAAATTTGCTGTTAACATCCGTGTGACCTTACCTTACATACTCAGCAATGTCCCTTTTTAAGGGATTACAGCCAGACGGAAGAGGAGTATAATGCGTGGTCCTCACATTCAGCTTGTCAAAATTCTACAAAGGCAAACCAAAAGATATGTGAATCCTTGGGCCAGAAACTTTAAGCTGCACATCTTAAGGATCCAATTCTAATAGTGATATATGTATGTTACTCTAGTAGATGTTTCTACATGTCAGTGTCTCTCTGTAAGTTTTTTTTTCAAATACTCAAACTAATAGCTAATCAATAGAGTAAATGTAGAGCAGCACAATTGGACTTACTCTAAACAGATTCCAAAATGTAAAGTTTTTGGCCAACAAATTCAAGAGCGTATTTTACAACTGGCTTTAACAGAAATATTTATTTATTTATGGCATTTATATGCTGCCCTTCTCACCCCAAAGAGGACTCAGAGCGGCTTACAAGACATATATACATACAGTATATTATATTATATTAAATATTACTATATTGTACTATACCATTATATTGTAATATTAATAGTAGTGTTATATTGTATTACATTATAATACTATAAATATTATATGTATATACATTATATTATATTACATTAAATTATATTATTAGAATACAAACTATTCTAGAGCATCTAGGAAACAGGCAGAATTTAAGGTGCAAGTAAACAGTGCTTTTTACCTTGAGAAGCAAAGGCCATTGTGATGTGTCTAACTGAGCCACCCTAGATTCAGGCTTGATAAGGAAGTCTTCTGAATGTTGTATATCCTAGGGAGGAAAATGTGAAGAATGAGCTTATGAGAAACAAGATTATCTTCAAGACAACTTTCCTCCAAAAGCATACATATGTGAATCCACAACAACATTGTACTAAATGAAATATAAATTGTTGCTTTGTAGAGAGCAAATAAGAGCAAGATCATTGGATCTATAGCAAACCACAAAGCAGCAGTGAAGCCAGTTCATTTTCCTAGTTCATAAAAAAACTTCAGAAGTTACATATGGTCTAGTCTAGAATCGCAAGGAAACTCATTAAGATTTAAGCCTTCAAATGTTCAATATCTTGATTTTTAAAGGAATGCTCGTCAATTTGATGCAAACCGTAAAAGAGCACATTAGCGACATAAAGACCTATCCAGAATGCAGTTAAACAATGAAATATTAATCAGCAAAAGTTATAAATATGGTCATCTATAGAAATACATTCTATTTTATAACTGTAATACCTCAGCAGTGCTCTTTGTGCTCTGACATAGTAACAAGGCTCCAGATAATTCAGACATTTAAAACAGCATATCGACAGTGTGTGTGTATAGAGAGAGCACTAAATAGAAGCCGTTATGCAGAACAAGTATTGTATATCGCCACACAAAACTTACAGCAACTTCGTCATCTAGCAAAGATTTCTTTTCTTTTTTCTTCTTCTGCTTCTTAGAGGCAGATCCTACGAATTAAAAATAGCACCCCTGCAGGTCAGTTTGCAAAAAACATCCTCATTCACTGATACAACCACAGCTAGCACTAATATTGACTTCACCAACAGGAGGCAAAAAAGTAGTTGGGATTTAGCATAGAAAAGCAGAGCAGGAGGATGAACTAAAGGCCACTTCAGCGGTAACACCACACGTGCTGAGATCTGGGGCAGGATATCCTTCCATGTCCTTTGGAAAAGTATATGCCTTCAAGAAAAAACAAACTCTTTGGCTCCATCTCCACTACCATATAAAATCCAGATTATCTGCTTGGATAATTCTCTGGATTATACGCCAGTGTAGCTTCAGCCTTTGAATGAGATTTAGGCACAAAGGACTAACCATTCAGTTTTTGTGATATTTTTTCTACTACTGAGCTAAATTTGTCTTTCCAAAAAGTCCATGTTCCAGCACAAATGTTCGCCTTTCGCCGCTTTATTAGTAACATGGCTTTTTCTAGCTAAAGCATTGGAATATGTATATTTTATATTCCAAGCTCAGAGAAAAAACTGAGCTAAAGCTCCTGCTCTTACCACTTGCAATTGTCATTCAGTTTCTACAAGATCAGCAACATTGGTAGGAGCAGAAAAGCATGGAAAGCACAATGGGAACCACCTTCTACCAGAGGGAGTGAAATACATAGACACAAGGCAACGGCAGCAGCTGCTACAGATTAAAAACTTTGGGGGCTACTTTTTTCTCTGCTCTCTCTCTCTCTATATATATGTATTTGCAACAATGCAGTTATTTAAATTGCAATATCATTCTTGCATTGTTACAAGAACACTTTTTAATGCTGCAATACAATAATACATAACACATTTTTGTTCCTGGGTTATAAATGTCATTTCCTAATTAGTTCTATCATAAAAACATGAAAAAGGTGGGTTTTTTTGACGGCGATCCTGCAGACCATTTTGCTATAGGTTTTCAACTAATATCTTACAGAGTCTCAACCAATTCGAGACAGTTTCTGGAGTAGAACAACTCTTTTCAAAGTAAAGACCGCACAATTAAACTAGAAAGAACACTTTCAAACCAGGGGCAGATTTTTTTTTTCAAATTTTGTTACGTAGTGTACTGTTAGCAGTTGCCGCCATCAATCTTCCATGTGCTTCAGGGCTTTGGCATGTATGTGGGAAAGGGCGCAATACAATCCCTCCCAAAGCATTAAACGCGAACATGTGGAAGATAGTAATTTGGCCATCCCTATCCACAGATTCTGCATGTAGAGACTGAAAATGTTTTGAAAAGGCAAACTTTGGTTTTGGTGTTTTATAGATGAGACATGCTATTTACATAATGAGGCCTGAACATTTGACGGGATCATGGAACCTATAGAATATCTATCTCAGACATGAGCCAACTTGCGCCCTTCCAGGTATTTTGGACTCCAACTCCCACAATTCCTAACAGCCTACCGGCTGTTAGGAATTGTGAGAGTTGGAAGTCCAAAACACCAGGAGGGCCCAAGTTAGCTCTTACCTGATGTATAGTGCCTATCCATCTATCCGTCTATGATATATATCTCTATATCTGTCTATGATATATATCTCTATATCCCTACGGTCCTTCCCCAGAGAGACTCTTATGCTCTGACATCCAATCTTCTATATAAATAAAAATGTAATGTTCAATGGTGGGATGAACAGACCTCAAAAACCACTGGATGAATTGACACCAAATTTGGACACAAGACATGTAACAACCCAATGTATGTCCTTCACTAAAAAAAATGATTTTGTCATTTGGGAATTGTAGTTGCTGGGATTTATAGTTCACCTACAATCAAAGAGCATTCTGAACCCCACCAGCGATGGAACTGAACCAAACTTGGCATACAGTTCTCCCATGACCGACAGAAAATACTGGAAGGGTTTGGTGGGATTAATGTAACACAAAAACCACAGGGTGAATTGACACTAAATTTGGACACAATACACCTCTCAGGCCAACGAGTAACTATCACTCATAAAAACACAGTAGAAGAGACTTAAAAAGCCAAAAAACAAAAAATAGATTACAACGCATGCTTAAACCACATATATATGCACAGACATACATATACACACAAATATATACACACTCATAACACATCTACACAGAGTGGGCCACAGCAACGCGTGGCAGGGGACAGCTACCTATTACTATTACTCTTGTATGTATGATTACTACTATTCATTCCTCTCATCAGAGACCCAAAGTTCCCAAGGCCTGGTTGCAACGCCTTCTTTGTATCTCCTCGCCCCATTTACTGAGGAGGAGAAAGCCTCAGCTGCTTCTACAGCACGAACCCCTCCCTTTGTGGCCCTGATAGGGAAGATGGCAAGGCTACCCCTGAGCATACATGGAGTGCTTCCCCTCCCTTTGTGGCCCTCACAGGGCTGCTTTTGAGCATGCTTCCTCTCAGACCCAGGGGGGAACCGCCCTCCTCCAATTCAACAAAAGCCTCCTCCTGCCCTGACCCTTAAACTTTAAACAGCAAGGAACCCACCTGCGCCACCGTCCGCCATCTTGCCCCCGCCACGCGCTGCCTCTGGAGCACGCTGCACGCGCGCGCTCACTCCGGCCGGAAAGGGACGCCACGCCCACTTCCGCTCCCGAGAGGCAACGCGGCACGAGGGCGGGCTGGAAACAAATTGGCCAGAGGGATCCACAACGCCCCTAGTGGCCACGTTGGAAATTGCACCCTCATTATTTATTTATCAGCAACCAGACATTTGTATTACATTTTTAACAAAAACAAACAGACAAAACACAGAATTTGCAAGCTTGGTAGTTGATTAAATGTCCTTTGACCAGTATCTGGCCACTTGGAGTGCCTCTGGTGTTGCCGCAAGGAGGTCCTCCATTGTGCATGTGGCAGGGCTCAGGTTGCATTGCAGCAGGTGGTCAGTGGTTTGCTCTTCTCCACACTCGCATGTCAAGGATTCCACTTTGTAGCCCCATTTCTGAAGGTTGGCTCTGCATCTCGTGGTGCCAGAGCGCAGTCTGTTCAGCGCCTTCCAAGTCGCCCAGTCTTCTGTGTGCCCAGGGGGGAGTCTCTCATTTGGTATCAGCCATTGAGGTTCTGGGTTTGAGCCTGCCACTTTTGGACTCTCGCTTGCTGGGGTGTTCCAGCGAGTGTCTCTGTAGATCTTAGAAAACTATTTCTAGATTTAAGTCGTTGACGTGCTGGCTGATACCCAAACAGGGGATGAGCTGGAGATGTCTCTGCCTTGGTCCTTTCACTATTGGCTGCCACTTCCCGGCGGATGTCAGGTGGTGCAATACCGGCTAATCAGTGCAATTTCTCCAGTGGTGTAGGGCACAGACACCCCGTGAAGTTGGATCTGGCCACGGTGGTCCACGCTCTTGTTACATCTCGATTAGATTACTGCAACGCGCTCTACGTGGGGTTGCCTTTGAAGACTGTTCGGAAACTCCAACTAGTCCAGCGGGAGGCAGCCAGACTGCTCACTGGGGCGTCATACAGGGAGCATACCACCCCCCTGTTGTGTCAGCTCCACTGGCTGCCGATCCAGTTCCGAGCACAATTCAAAGTGCTGGTTTTGACCTACAAAACCCTTTACGGCTCCGGCCCAGCGTACCTGTCCGAACGTATCTCCTTCTACGTCCCACCTCGGAGCTTAAGATCTGCTGAGGGGGCCCTGCTCTCGGCCCCACCTTTATCACAAGAGACTGGTGGGGACGAGGGACAGGGCCTTCTCGGTGGTGGCCCCTCGCCTGTGGAATTCACTCCCCAGGGAAATTAGGACATCAACATCCCTCCTCTCCTTCAGGAAGAAGCTAAAAACCTGGATGTGGGACCAAGCGTTCGGGTAAGCTGGCAGATGGACAAAGACAACCAATAATGACCAGAGTAGGAAAGGACAATGACGATGCTAAATGGTTTACGGACTTGGATTTGGTGAACACTGACCACAAGATGTTTTATTGCTGCTAGTATACTGTCTGATGGTTTTAATTAGTTATAACTGTGATATTATGTGGTAAATTTGTGTATTGTATAGTGTATTGTATGTTGTAATTGTTAGGCATCGAATTGTGCCTTTTGTAAGCCGCCCTGAGCCCCCCCTAGGTGGTTGAGAAGGGCAGGGTAAAAGCACTCCAAATAAAATAAATGTGTGCATTGCAGCAGGTGGTCAGTGGTTTGCTCTTCTCCACACTCACATGTCGTGGATTCCACTTTGTAGCCCCATTTCTGAAGGTTGGCTCTGCATCTCGTGGTGCCAGAGCGCAGTCTGTTCAGCGCCTTCCAAGTCGCCCAGTCTTCTGTGTGCCCAGGGGGGAGTCTCTCATTTGGTATCAGCCATTGATTGAGGTTCTGGCTTTGAGCCTGCCACTTTTGGACTCTCGCTTGCTGAGGTGTTCCAGCGAGTGTCTCTGTAGATCTTAGAAAACTATTTCTAGATTTAAGTCGTTGACATGCTGGCTGATACCCAAACAGGGGATGAGCTGGAGATGTCTCTGCCTTGGTCCTTTCACTATTGGCTGCTACTTCCCGGCAGATGTCAGGTGGTGCAATACCGGCTAAGCAGTGTAATTTCTCCAGTGGTGTAAGGCGCAGGCACCCCGTGATAATGCAGCATGTCTCATTAAGAGCCATATCCACTGTTTTAGCGTGGTGAGTTGTGTTCCACACTGGGCATGCGTACTCAGCAGCAGAGTAGCACAGCGCAAGGGCAGATGTCTTCACTGTATCTGGTCGTGATCCCCAGGTTGTGCCAGTCAGCTTTCGTATGATATTGTTTCTAGCGCACCCACTTTTTGCTTGATGTTCAGGCAGTGCTTCTTGTAGGTAAGAGCACGGTCCAGAGTGACTCCCAGGTATTTGGGTGCGCTGCAATGCTCCAGTGGGATTGCTTCCCAGGTGATCCTCAGAACTCGGGATGCTTGTCTGTTCTTGAGGTGAAAAGCACATCTCAAGAACAGAGAAGCATCCCGAGCTCTGAAGCACAGGCCTGAATCATAGAATCATAGAGTTGGAAGAGACCTCACGGGCCATCCAGTCCACCCCCCATTCTGCCAAGAAGCAGGAATATTGCATTCAAATCACCCCTGACAGATGGTCCAGCCTCTGTTTAAAAGCTTCCAAAGAAGGAGCCTCCACCACACTCCGGGGCAGAGAGTTCCACTGCTGAACGGCTCTCACAGTCAGGAAGTTCTTCCTCATGTTCATCTGGAATCCCCTTTCTTGTAGTTTGAAGCCATTGTTCCGCGTCCTAGTCTCCAGGGAAGCAGAAAACAAGCTTGCTCCCTCCTCCCTGTGGCTTCCTCTCACATATTTTATACATGGCTATCATATCTCCTCTCAGCCTTCTCTTCTTCAGGCTAAACATGCCCAGCTCCTTAAGCCGCTCCTCATAGGGCTTGTTCTCCAGACCCTTGATCATTTTAGTTGCTCTCCTCTGTTGCATTTTATCTGTTTGTTTGCTTTGTTGTGTTAGAAATGTAACATAATTGACTGGTTAATCTGACATGATTATAAATCAAATGACAAATGACAAATAAATATGGGGTGCTTTGAATGCAATATTCCTGCTTCTTGGCGGAATGGGGTTGGACTGGATGGCCCAAGAGGTCTCTTCCAACTCTTGGATTCTATGATTCAGGCCTGTGCTATGCCTTACTCTTAGTCCAAGAGCTCCCTCTCATCACTATAGTAACACACTCTTAGCCACGCCCCCTTCCTCACATCCGGGTCCTCCAGGGCGAGAGCGTGTCGTCACATCCCGTCCGGACCGGAAGCGCGGCTCCAGTGTTGTTTTGGCATCCCTGAGGGAAGGAAGGAAGGGAGGATGCTGTCTGTTCCAGGCTCCGGCCCGCCTCCGGGCTTCGGTTCGGGGGAAGGCGGCAGCGGCGGCGGGGCGGGGGGAGACTTCTTGTCTCGCTACCGGGCGGTGTCGGCCAAGCTTCGCCGCCGCTTCCTCCGCAAGCCCAACGTGTCTGAGGCGGCGGAGCAGTTCTGGGCCTTGGCTCGGGAGCTGCGCGCCCAGGAGAGCCTCCCTCACGCGGCCTGGTGCCAGCTGGCGGTGGCGCGCTGCTCGCAGAGCCTGGGCCACGCGCCGGGGGAGGCGGCGGCGCTGACGGAGGCGGCCCGGCTGTGGCTGCGGCACGAGAGGGAGCTGCGCCTCCGCCAAGGCGGGCCTGCCTCCTCCGCGCTGGGCCTGGCCGAGCACCACCTCCCGGCCGCCCAGAGCTGCCTCGCCTTCGCCGCCCGACTCCGCCTCGACCTCGGGCAGCCCGCCCTGGCCGCCGGGCTGTGGCTCGAGCTGGGCGAGGAGCTGCGCGGCGCCGGGGAGGCCGCCCAAGCCGTGGCCGCCTTCCTCCGCGCGGGGGAGCTCCTGGTCTTGGCCCAGCTGCCCCTGGAGGCGCTGCGGGCACACAGCCAGGCCGCCTCCTGCCTCCTCCTCTGCGGGGACCACGATGGCGCTCTCGCCTTGCTCACTAAGGCCCAAGGGCAGACCCAAGGCGCCTCTGCTGCTTCTCCTGCTTCCGTTCATCAACTCCCAGGCGCCTTCTTGGACGAGCTGCTCCGCTGCGAAGTCACCCGCGTCCTCCTCCTGCTCTTGCTCCAGCCCCCACCTTCCAAGCTGCTCCCCGAGCATGCCCAGACCCTGGAGAAGTACTCCTGGGAGGCTCTGGATGCCTCGCCCAGCTACATCCCCGCCGAACTCTACCTGCTGCTCCAGTCTACCGTCATGGCCTGCCAGGAGAAGGACCTGGAGGCCCTCAAAGCCCTGCAGAAGGAGCTCTGGC